AACACGACAGACATCCGCGGAATGTTGGCTGCTCGGAGTCCCGAGTCCGAAGTCTCCCTCCGTTACTCGCTAATAAGTCCAGTTATATTCCGTTACAATTGACATAGTCTCAAGAAAAACTGTATATGTAAATTTCTTATGCGGTCTTTTCGATCAGATAGAAATTTATTTGTTCAAATCCCAAAAGCGGAAGCTGTTTGACGTATGAGCATAATCATTTACATTTGTTGTTACTTTGAGTCTTTTAGACTCCAAAAACAATATAACGCATGGAAACTGCATCTAACAATTCGTAACAATTACGGCTCACAATCTGCTGTTGAGTCGAAGATAAATGAATTTATCCTCTCTTTTCCTTTAATTTCTATTAAACTACTTTTTTTCTAAGCCACGAAGATTCTTTAAAGTATTTGACCTGCTCCCCTCCCCCTATTGACCCTATATCATCCTAAGAACTATATTATTTTCTACAATACTTTGTTTAACTAACGTAAGTATGTAAAAAATATATGTGAAAGACTGTATATACATAGGAAGATATTTTGAGATTAAACTCATATGAAACGCAGATAAACTCTCTCTCTCTCTCTCTCTCCCCCTCTCTCCCTCTCTCTATCCAAATAAATGAGAATTCAGTTAGCTACGTTACTAAATATAATTTCGAAAGCTATACAGTTCTTAGAATGATATTTAGTAATAACTGTAGGAAGCAATTTTGAAGCAACCGGATAAATTATCATAATGGTGTAACGTCCGTCATTTGTGACGTCAACATATTCGTAACCTTGTTAACTTTGTGCCATCAAAGTTTCGAACAATCACGAGTATACACTGTCATTATATAATCGTTCTATAATCACTTTCCCGACAGCTACAATCGACTCCTGCTCATTGTTGCACGAATCACCATTTGTTTGCCGTGCAATTAATGACGAAGAGGAGAACTAATTATCAGCACATGCTGTAAAACGAGCACTCTCTAATTTGCATCCGTTGCTAATTAGTTTCTAGCAACGAATAATTATTTGAATTTTGCTAATCAACATCACGGCTACATTAGGATTTCCGGCCCCAGACAATGGATTATTATTATAAAATACGATTTAATACACATATATATATGGAAATGCTTATATAAATTGAAACTTATATATATATGGTATACCACGTGCAACAGATGATTATTATTCTCAAGTATCAATATTTAAAAATTTTTAATAATTTAGGACATCTCTCTATAAAAAAAGATCTTTCCAATAATAAATCAAGCTGTAATAATATCAACAATTATCATTTCTTATAAAAACTATCTGACCGTTATGAAACATCAGCTGATTTATAAAGAAAGACATGCCATGCTTCAACAGCTGAAATGTCTCTTTTCCATGCGCCCGTAAAACGGAAGATTGCATATATAGTTTATAGAAGGGAGCCATGAGAGGTGAATGAGGCTCAAGAGAGACTATAAAATGAACGGAATAAATACTTCCTGTCACTTTTATATCCGAATACAACTCATCTTGCCAGATACTTCGCATGATATTCTCACGGCGTATCAATCATCTTTACATATTAAAAAATTTCTTTTAAAAAATCTCTCTCTCTTTCTCTCTCTTGAAATCATACGATATCTTTTGCATTTTGTTCAACGTGAACTATATTATTAGCATTTAACGTAACTTGAGTTACGTTAAATTAGAGTTTAACGACTCGAACGGCCGTTGGACGGGCGACATAACCTTCGTGGTTCTCTCAGGTGTTTTAGTAATTGGAATGCGTAATTTTCGGCGAGCATTGTTCCCCGTAGAAGACTGCATGACGAATGACGTGCGACATCGTCAAGGAAATTGCGTCTTAAATCTTGCAGACCGGAATTCCTTTCGCTCGACATGCCAAGCAACTTGCTCATCCTTCCCCTTTCTTACACCCCTCCGTTGCCTTTGTCTCTCTTACACACACATATACACATGTCAAGAACTTAATTCCAATTATGTGTCTCACCTGTTTCTAAACTTCTAAACAATTAGAAATCGTAGAGAATTTTTTTGGATTTCCCATTGGATTTTCAAAAATTTCTCAACAATTTTCAAAAATTTACCATATCGTAACTGTTCTGCGCTAAATTCTTCGATGTTAAAAACATAACATTCGCGCGTTTATTTTTTAATACAATCTTACGCGCAAAATTATAAAAGCGTTACCTCGCTGATGATAAATTGCGATGCGCATGTCCGTTTGTGATCCGATTGCACACGCCATTTGCTGACGTGATGGAATAAACGTTACAAAAAAAATGTGCATTATAATAATCCGTATGTAAAACATTGATATATTATTTTATCTCGTACAGCACGGAGCGCGCAATACGCTTCCATGCTCGATTATTGCCATTCGTGTAAACACAATACATGTGCATGCACGTGCGCACGCTTAAACGACTCGTTCGCGGTGATCCATAATCAAGGACACGCGATATCTCACAGGCAGAATATCCTAGATCCGACACGGAGATTACTGAGCGGCGAATAGATAGCTGTTGCGGAAAAGTCACGCGAAGTTGGGCATCGTGTTCGCGGAGATCGTATCGCGAGGGCGTCATCACGACTTTCGCGCCTGGCTGAAAATTTCTCGTAATCGCATGACCTGACCTCCCACTTAACTCGTGTAGCCTCGTAGATGAATGTGTCATTTGGAATTATTCACACATTATTTCTGTTGCTCATTGTTGCCATGCTATGAAAGATTGGATGCTATGATTGGATTATTATTTCTATAAGCTTCATCTACGAATTAGGTTAAATATGGTCGGAGATTTAGTTAGTTCAGATTAAGTTTAGTTAGGTTTTCTCTCTTCGTTCAAGTTGAATGGATACGCAGACTCCAGTTTATGAAGATTCTCTTTACTCAATGTTTTAATTTTCGAATCAAAATTTTCGTGTTTTCGCTCAAAACTTTGTAGTTCTCCACTCTCTCGTTTATTGAGACGGAAGTGCCGCTGCTGAAAAGCACTAATTTAATTTTCCCACACTCTATAGAGCGTCGTGGCAGCCATTACAAGTAAAATTAGACACTTTGCTTGTTAATCAGCTCATAATATGCCGAGTTTTTAACAAAATCCTCAATAAGCTCCTCCAACACAAATAGTTCTCCGAGACGGGTGAAGTATTTCTCATTAAGTACTCCGGATAAAATCGGAGCGAAAAGTGCCTCTTCATAGAAGCGATTCAGGATTCAGCGGGATTGAAAGCGCTTCATTATATGCTACGCCCGGTAAGTGGTTCTTTCGATCGGGACGTATGCGCCATCGGCGAGATCTCCATTCGTCGGGGTGGAATTTCTTTGTCGCGCCCTTCCACGGGGACGGACGCTTCGCGGACGGGGCTATGAAAAAGCAAGGGTGGAGAGAGGGGAGGAGGTCCTCAGATTGGAATAGCCCGGTAACAACCGTCGTGGCATTTTCTAGCTTTTGAGACGCGAGAAAATAACGATGCAGCAGGCGTACATACAATCACGTGGCGAAATATGCCAGCCACCATCCACGTCGAAGGGCCTGAGGCGTTATGGCGCAGTGTGCGCCATACGCGCGTCGCATCGGGGAGGGAATGTTAAATGCGAAATGCAGGAAAACGCGTGTCCCTATCCCGGACCCGAGCAGAAACAAACGATAGTCGCGAACAAAGGCGGCAAAGTAATGACGTATGCAGCGAAAGAGTGACAAAATAAAGCGCGCGCGCAAGATGAGCGCCATTTAAAGCGTTCAGACAATATGCGCGTGCACGCGACGACAATAGAGACATAGAGACTTTACGTTCGTTTCTTGTATACTTTTTTATGTGATCGATGTAAAGTGCAAACGGAGCTAGGGTACATGAGACTATCGATTCGCATGGTCTGAAACATAAAAGGACTCTCCTCCGATTGAAGGTGTACAAGGACTCAAGAATCGCTGTTTCCCGATAACTATATGTTTCAAGTTTCAAGACTCCGTGGAAGAATTCAAATTCCAAACGCTCTTTCCGGATTGCGGATTTTTTTGCTTTTTTTGTTTGAGTTAATTAATTTATTAACTTAACAACGATGCACAACTGGTTAGCACAAACAAGTAATAATAAATTTCGCATCGAGGGCGAATTGTTTTAACGATGTCAGCGGGACTAACTTAATGAGAATTAATTACCACATCATAATTACCACATGCGATCTTTGCGATAAGTAATTTTGCTTCAACACAACAGCCTGTCAGAGACTATTGAGTGATGTTATTCCGTAATTTCTTTCTCGGAGCAATCTCAGAAACACATTAACCCCATTTAATATCTCGGTATTTGGCCATGTGTATCCTTAAAATGATAGCTTTTCCGGGGCGTCTCGGACTTCTTGATTTCCGGTGTAAAGGGCACACATAGGGTGGTGATCTACTAAGTATAAAAAAAGGAAATAGTCTGCTTTTTCTAGCTGGCTGCATACACCCGGTACACCAATCCAGCTAAAAGCCCGGGATAGAACTCGCGCACAAGTGCACGCCTTCCCCTTGTGTTCCCCCCTCCCCCTAATCATTTCCGAACGTCCTAAAGACACTACAGATACACGAGAGATGACAAACGGCGCGAATAGAGTGCGGATAAAGACGCGGAATTTAATGTTGCATATGTCAGGAATGTTTTGTGTCGCTTAGTACATCCATCTTCCGAGGAGCGGATTCGTTGAAACTCCGGCACGAACTTGTCGAGGAACAGTACGTCACAAGCAAAATTGGTATCTCGCATGTTTTCCGCGTAATACCGGCGCCGTGTAATACGAGATACGCGTCTTGCGTGTAACACAGCCGCCATGTAGTACAAACTATACGTCGCTCGTATAAGGACAACAACGCTGTGTCATGGAAACGTTGTTTTTTTTAGACGTTCTCTGAGACAACCATTTATATATTTTCACATGCTTCTACGCACACTCTTTCGCACTTATGGGAGATAAATAACAGCCGGTAAAGCTGTACTCACCTTCCAGCTCGACAACCTTGCCGGCTCTCTTCAGCGCCTTCACCGCCTCGTCGTGCGTGGCTTCGCACAGGTCCTCGCCGTTCACCGCCAAGATGGCATCACCGACGTAGAGCTGCTCGGTAGCGTCCGCGGCCATGCCCTTGAAAATTTTCGAGATGAGGATCGGCATTTTGTTCTCCTTGCCGCCTTTGATCGAAATCCCAAGGCCGTTGTTGTCGCTCTTCACCACGCGGACAATGCGCTTCTGATTGGCCACGGAGTCGGGCACGTCCGGATCGTTCAGACTGTCCACATTGTTATTGTTGATGTTGCCATTATTCAGAGCGATGCTGCTGGTCTCGCAGCTCTCGTCGAGGGAGATACTGAGATAATCGTCTTCCAGGGAGACAAACACGCGATACCATTGACCGCGCACTTGGGTCTCGAGGACGCCGGCGCGACCCGAGACAGAGGACGAGGCTCCTGTGGTAGTGGTGGTCGACGAGGAGGATGATGACGTCGCCGCGGACACCACCGAGCCGATGCCCATCACCCCCATAGCCGAGGAAGCTTGGCCGCTACCACACAGCTCCACCATTTCGATTTCTTCGCAAGCCACAAGCTGCAACATGATGCCAATAGTTGAGTGAACACATAACCCTCTTTCCCTTCGCCGTGTATTTGTCTCGTGTAGGGTTCATCTAAATTTATTTCACTTAACGACTTGATTATTAACAATCCATTTAAAGCGTGGCAGTGAAAAGTTAAACATTAGTGCAATGTTAATGATTCAAAAGGTATGAAAATAAATTCACGGAATTTAGAAGAATCTGGAGGGGTTTTGCTTTTGTGTTAGAAGCAGATGAACAGTATTTTACATAAACGTGCCATTTACAACGCTGGATAGATTTTCGTGGAAGAAAGGAGAGGTTAGAAAATACGATTTATCTCACTTGCGCGTCGCTCAATTTTCAATGCAAGACCGGAGAAAAATGGCGGCGTGCAAAATGGACGATATAGTATGCCCCGGAATAAATGGCACCGGTACTCGACGACGTGAATAAATCAATTGTACCATATCCTGGTGAAATTCGTAATTTGAAAATAATTGATAGCGGTCGACAGTGACGTAGCCGAGCTCTCTTTGTTTTCCTCCTACGCCATTATTTCCATCAATCCAGTTTCGCGCCGCAACAATAGCGTTACCATTGCCCGCGTAAAATGGCGTATGAGCGCAGCGGAGGGCAAATAATTAGAAGAAAATTGCGCGCGCTTACGATAATGGCTTTAAACTAATTCGCGTCCCGTGCACTTTTAATTAATTCAGATAGTTTTAATGAATCCAGCTTAAGGAAGATATTTAGCGTTATACCACTGTTCATCGAAGAAAGAAAGAGAAGGTTCATCAAGCTAGAAAATCATCGAGAGCACGTGAAGTCTAACGGAATCAAAATTCAGAACCTCGTCGAACGTAAAATAATATGCAGAGTTAATTAATTTATTAACTTAATAACGATGCACAACTGGTTAGCACAAACAAGTAATAATAAATTTCGCATCGAGGGCGAATTGTTTTAACGATGTCAGCGGGACTAACTTAATGAAAATTAATTACCACATCTAACGAAAGCTGATAACTTATTTGTTTTACTTCCTAACGGACACCTTATATTCCAGTGATATGTTTGGCAAATGTGATTTTCGCGAACTCTACATTTTTCTGAATGGAGTTCTGCTGTGTTAAAGTAATCGAATAAGCGTGCGAACGACAGCAACTACGTTTAATGAATGCGACGATATGACGACACGTAGGTACGTGGCAAGGTTATAATTAAAGTGTTTGTCTCTGGGAATTAGTCCTGCGTCAGTTCTGGCTTCGCGTCGCCCACATGAAAATACACGAGATGCCTTTATGGATGATACAACATGAGTGGGTGTGGGTGCAGCCTGCTTCCAATTAACATCTGGCACCTAGCGGGATCATAAATTTGCGATATGAGTCGGAATAATTTGATAATCGTTCCTATGGAGCAAAGATTGCGCCCGAAGACTTTTATTTGTGCGAGCGAAAATTTGCGACTATGAATCAGGCAGCCCTAAAGGGACATGGATGATCAATTTTGTCGACGTTCGGACCCTTTCAGTCGTCAAGTTTTGGGATCTTCTCCACATTCTTGTACTTTAATGCGTTCGAGTAATCCTATTGTTAAACGATAGAAAACAGGTTTGTTTAGTAACAAAAGTATTAATATAGAAATTGTTAAAGAAATTGGGAGGAAAACAAGTCTGTTAACGAGAAAATTATCAAGTAACAGGAAAGATACAGAGTTGGAATGTTTGGTCACGTTCTCTCTCCGTATCGAGATTCCTGCAGCCTCAAGTTCCCATGTTCTTATATTCACGATAACACATTGAATTACAGCGTGTCATAATAATCGTCTCTCATTACCATCGACACGAACTTTAGAAGGCATCGCGTGTCATTACGCGGCTTCGGTGTCGTGAGGACAAAGTCGGTTAAGACATTTCGCGACCCACTATGGTGTGATGGTACTTCCGTACTTCGGAACTTGATCAGAGTGATGTAATACGAATGATGTAGCACGGTAAATAAATTCGCGTATCAGCAGTAGCGACTTGAAGGGCATTTTAATTTTAATATCGCAGCTCACGGTATTCTCTTCGGTATGAATGTACCTGAGTAAACATACGTACGCGTTTTTCTAGCGTAATGAAACCCGGAATTGAAACTGAGGCTTGTACGCTGCTCCACGAGATTTAAAATTTCTTGCTTATTTCATTATGCTAAGGTTGACCGCTTCGGGCGCGCTGATAATGCATTATCCGAACATCGTGGTTGTTTGCATAACTTTATTGGATTTTCCTGCTACAGGTAGATTCGAGAGCACAGTCAGTTCAATTTCTCTCGTATCCTATAATTATGAGTATAAAAATCATATATCCATCTAAGATTACATACAAGTACTCAGATATCCTGATGGAAATAAGGCTAAATTCAATCCAGCAATCCATCGGACCCTGATTGTATTCGGTTACTCGATTATCAAATAAGTACGTAGAAATACACCTGGACGGAACGAAATGTCCGATGTGTTACAGCGAATCAACAAGTATCGTATTAACGCTTTGAGCGTACATCGAGCGAACGAGCGAGCGAGTGAGCGAACGGGCGAATGGACGAGAGCGAGTTGTGGTGGTTCACACGCGGATATAAATTTAAGTCGTTACAGTTTCGCGATGCCCGCGGCACGATAAACTCGCCTCGGCCACGAATGATCCCTTTACGCGAGGACACAGGAGGCGAAACCGAATCGATTCCCAGCTTCGACCTCGCGGCAAAGATTTTGCGTCGTAGTTACCGATCGAGCTGATACCGAATAAAATTTTATCATCGGGTTCATCGCGCCGCTTTTAATTTAGAATCGACGTTTTTCGACAGAACTTTGAATTCGTAGATTTCAATTCTCCCGGAGAGAGCATAACACAAGATAGTGGCAGATATTCAGTAACGTCAAGCCTCCCGCAAAAACCAATAATCTCAGTGTATGCCGTGGCATGTACAGTCAATGGAAGACTGGTTGCAACACTTTTACCTCAATAAATTTCAGAACGCATCCAATATCCAATAGGAAGATATATCTTTTGAGAATTACTAAAAAACATTTCCCCTATTGTGCACCGAATGCGTTCTAAAATTCATTGAGGTAAAAGTGTCGTAAACTTTTTATCACTGCCTGTAGCTAGCGTTAATGCCGTCCCACTTCCTAACTTCAGGATCACTAAAAATATTCAGTGAAATATATCTGGATATGATGGATATGACGCATGAACATCTTGTTATGTAATCATAAAAATTATATCATAAATGTGTAAATATAGTTTTTAGATGCTTAACACTGTCATCGTCGTTTTTCTTTTATACAACAGAATTTTTTATAAAATTCATATAAAACTGTAGATCTTGCGAAATTTGTCGAGATATGGTAATAGAACGTGTGTAGAACAAACTGAGACGCAGCGTGATTGTACGACTAATTTAGCCGCGCTTATTTCCTTTCTTTTTTTATTTCAATAGGCAGGATTAGTTGTTTAACCTATCAAGAATTCTAGAACTATAGAAAAAGAAGCCAAAACTCTGAATAGTTTGTGAGTTTCCAGAGAATTGAAACGTCAGTTTTACACTTTTGTGTGCATCTTTTACGCTACTATATGTGATTTTAATTACTACATGTTGAATCCTAAACATTCTGAGTAAGCTTGACTTATTTTATAAAAGTAATTCAGTCGCACTAATTTAATCCACCTTAAAAGCTGTTGACAAAACATTCGGCGACACAACGTAAATAGGCTTTCAACAGTGCGAATAAAAATGTGAAAAGCATCGCACAGCGAGCGGCGCCATTTTAACCAAATTGATCCGCGCGAAGTATTAAAATGCGGAAACAGACGTCGCCTGTTCGTTTTAGCCGATACACGTGCACGCGCGAATGCGTCGAGCCGCGTACCCATGCGTATGGAAAGAGCAGGAGGACGGGGAGAACGGAGAGCAAGGTGGAGAGGTTGGGGGATTTTGTCTGGATGTGTGCTGGGGTAATCGGAAAATGCATTACGCGCGTGCATCACGCCGCGGAAATAAGCCGTAACATAAAAATCAAGCGCAAAAATGCGAGTCTTTCGGTTGGTCGATTCGATTAAAGCAGTATTATCTGAAAAATAAGATTCTCCGTTATCCTTCAACAATCTCTTTAACGTTTGTTCACGAGAATTCTATCATTCACGATACTAATCCCGTAGTCAAGGGAAGAAAATCCCGAAGAATTCTTCATTTTCAATCCAAACATTAAGGTTTGGGTTTTTCTTTCTCTTCTCCCGTTCCTCGCGCTCTTTTTTCTTCCTTTCGTTTTTTACAAGGAGAGATTTGACACGCCGTTGTGCGTACTCCACTATGCTCGCACAAAGGTAGATTTCGTTTATTTTTTCCAAAGTACCGGAAGAACCCTGAATCTTTTTCACATATTTGTATGATTTATCGTCAACGTCTGCTGCTACTACGTTAAAACAAGCAACAAAACTTAGAAGAAGTATGACATATGTGCAGAAGGTGAGGGTGAGTTTGTGTAAACATCTGCGGAAACAGTTCCCTACCTTGCCAAGTGATCCTACAATATGAAAACAACATCAATCACGATGTTCAAACAACTTTACGCAGCAGGAATTATTTACATCCGAGCAAAATATTCGATTAGATGTGACATCTGAAATTTTGAGGCAAATGAGCAAATAAACGTAACAAGGAATTGTCGTAGTAAAATCTCCGTGTTTCTCTGTAATGAGCATATGTATATTTGATGAGATCACAGAACAGCAAACTTGTTATAAATAACAACTTCTCTAGCAATGGCAAGCATCAGAAAGTCTACGAGGAAAATTGGAACAATGTTCCATATTGTCATTATATCTCTTGTGGCACGTCTAATGCCATTTTCATGGCAACTAATATAGTTTCGACATTGTACTACGATTCATAAAAAAGATATTTCCAGACGTTTATGCAAATTTCATCCTTTCGTCACGTGCTACTTACAGCGTACATTTTGGTCGTACAATGTCCAGAAATAACAATAATGGTGATGAAAATAGCAGTCGCACAATGTTTGAATATTGAATCGTTACATTTTTCTCTATTACCGTTAAATTCCTTAAGAACAGGTCATTCCGAATCAAAGGGCCAATTCTAAGGACTAATGTCGGCTTTGTGTAAGAAATTGAATTTTTAAATTGCAATAAAACCGCGATGTAATTGAGAAAAATATTTATAGAGTGTGTATCAAGCTTCAGCTTGTTGCGACAGTGCGGATACACAGGTCCGTTAAAAATAAAAGAAAGCGTCGCCGCGATCCTGAACAAGCAAAACGTTTACTTTTTCCGGAGTCCGTAGCCAAAAGAATATGATTTTAGGGAACATTCTGCGAAACTTCTCCACGTTTCCTTAACAGTCCCTTTCAAAGTATCGCTGTGAATTTTTCATCGTGTCGTACCTCTTCCTCTCCTTCCCGCCGTCTCGTTTCCTCCCCCGCCCATATGTTTTTCCCTTTTCCTCCGCGAGTATGTCGGCGCCATCGCTACTTTCGACGGCGAATGAAGAGCCGCGAATGCCAGCTGGTTTTACGCGCTCGTCAGCGCTCTAATTCAATTACGCCATCCGGTACAATCTCCGTCTACCCGGTGGCGTATTTATAGCCGCGCGAATGATCCCTCCCTGGCCGCCCTCCGCGCTTTTCCGCCCTCGAGCGTGTCATTCTCTCCCTCTGACCACCCCCTCGACCACGTCCTCGTCCTCGTCCTCGCAATGCGTGTCACCCGCGTAACTCGCGTGGGAGCTACCGTATTTCGCGAATGATGCTGCCGGATTGGCCGTCGTCGATACGTTTTTACCCAATTTCACGCATCGCTAGGTCTGTCGCACGCTACCCTGGCTATTCTTCCCTATCAGACACGAGAACCGTTAACCCTCCTCCTCCTCCTCGGTCCAATATGCTTCCGGCGTATTATTATAATTTTCATTCCGTGCTTAATTTATCCGCCAATTATTACGATAGAATCAAATCCGGACAGTCGATTACATATGCAGCGCATTTTGCATATAGTAGTGATTGCTTTGCGAGACTATTAAAGACTGAAATATGTCAGTGACAATGAAAACAATGGCACACTTTACTTTCTCTCCCAAAAATAGAATAGCAGGAAAGCTCCTTTGTTATCTCAGTACTAACAACGTTATGCAACAAATTGTGATTATTTTTCTGTTTATAATAATTTTTGCATTAATATTATTTGGTGTATGTACACGGTATTAAGGTATTATCTAAATTTCCATTTGCACCATTAGAGAGCGTTGGTACTAGTGTTACAAAAAAAGTATATCTCGATACACAATAATAAATAAATTATATATTATATCGTGAGAAATGTATTGTTTTACTTTTGAAACATAGATATTTCATAAATTCGATTCTGCAAATTAAATTTTTAATCATTTCCCGATGTTTTCTTTAAATTTGTGTATTTCTTTATTCTTTCGATTCTTTTGTTGAATATAATTGAATAATAATTCGCGCTTTATCGATTCATTGAATTTTTTTATATACTTAACACTCAATAGTTTGCGAGAAAGGTACGCTAGTCGCGCCGGTTGTCCCTCTACGTGACTTGCTAGCTTAATGAACCCGGTCTCCTCACCTAAGGAGAATTTAAAATCCGAGGAATCTCGATAATTAATGAAAGAAACGTAAAGTGTTTTCTAAGTATCGAAGATTAAAAGTTCTAGTATTGTGTGCGTGTGTGTATGTGTATGAAATCTAAAGGCAATCCTAAAAGTCAGTAGTCCGATATACAAGTTGATAAATGTTTAGAAATACTCATCAAGAACCGCGGCCTTTCTGTAATAATCAAAACAAGCTATGAAAAAAGATATATATACATATATATTTAAGGGAGGATTTAAAAGGATTTTCGTTTAAAGTGTATGTATTTTATAACCTAGAGTTGGTTTCGTTAGATTTGATTTAGTTTGATTGTGTTAAATCTGATTAGATCCAACTAAAATTAAAGGTTGAACTTCGATTTATACAAACTTAATGGAATTTGCGCAAACTTAATTATATATGTGAGATAATATAATTATAAATTTGACTTTGCGCGAAAAGCACAAAGATCAATGCAGAACAAGTATTTTCAAGTTTTTCTGTGAAAATTTTAAGCTCTCCCTTCTTCCTTCAAAAATTTATATATCTTTTTATCGCTTATTTTATTAATTATCGCAAAAAAATCGCGATTCTCGCTGCAGTGATATTTCTTCCCAAACATTTATCCAATCACGTATATAGCTCTATGGTGGTATTTACCGTCTTACGCGCGTGTATGGGCATATGACTTTTCGGTAGGCAATGGATTAGCTCGTCGCCTGGTCCGTCTTCTCCCTCGGAGCAGTCTCGCCCGACTGTCCTTCTCTTTCTCGCTTTCTGTCGTTCTCTTACCCCTTTTTCTCTCTCTTTCCCTTCCTCTCGTACATACACACGCTCTTCCTGCCTCTCTCTCTCTCTCTCTCTCTCTCTCTCTCTCTCTCTCTCTCTCTCTCTCTCTCTCTCTCTCTCTCTCTCTCTCTCTCTCTCTTTCTATCTGTCTGTCTGTCTCTGTTTCTCTCTCTTCGTGAATCCCAATCCTGTGTGACGTCCACCACCACGTCGTTACTCCCTCGCTCTCACGTGGCTCACGACATGCGTCACTGCCAACAGGGCTAATACGATCTCCGATCCGCGCACGAGCCAATCACACAACCGCCCGTTGGCTCTCCTTTCAACAACCTCGACATGTTTTATCGGTCCTCCTTCAGCAACGATCAGTCCCACCGTGATCACCCTATCCGTCTTCCAATGCTAAAGATCGACGTGATCGGCCGTGATCTACGAGCGGCCCCGGATCAATCCGCGCATCGGATATCAAGATATTCCAGTTTGCCACTTGTCTCAGATCAATCAGCGACGTTATCGGGAGAAGTAGCCGGCCGGCTGGTCGTATGCTGAATATGACCCGCCAGTCGGTTTGCTGCCTCGTCCTCGAATGGACACCTACTCTCGTGGAGACCCGTTTCACTCTCGATTGTGCTCTATAGTCTCCTACCCGTTCACTTTCGCTTACGAAAGCGCGAACTCCTTTTGCGCGTACGCGTGGATGCTGGATACGTCGCACGTTCCACTTTTGATTGAACGCTCCGTTAAATAAATGGATCCTCGATGCTGCCGACTCGGGAATGTTGAAATATTCAACTCCTTGAATTCTCGAATGTGCGAGTCTTTGATCTTTGATTTTTGGAGCAATTCACCAACTGCCTCTCTCTCTCTCTCTCTCTCTCTCTTTCTTCCTTCGAAATTGCGGAATGCTCCAATTTAGACAGTCGAGTCCCTAGATCCTAAGATACAAAAGTCGCTGATTCCTTGGAACCTTGGATGCTTAGATTTTTCATTCTCTTTCGAAAAATTCGGGAGTGAATTTTTTAGATCTTTGAACTTTCAGGGTTATAAGTCCTCAGTGTTATATGCATTATATCCGAATTTTTTAATCCTGAGGTTTTCGAGCCTTTAGCCAACGTTCAGATCCATTGACCCTTAATCTCTCGGATTTTCCGAAATTTACTGAAATGTTTAAGTGAATCTTGTGAGATTCATTTAGAGGTTGGAATATCTGGATCTTCAAATTGACGTGTCGACTCTGTGCGAGTTCTTACCTCCTCGAAATCCAAGATATTCGAAACGTCCGATTTTAAACATCGGAGTATTTCAATGCCCCAACTCTCTAATTCAAAGTTCAATGAATTCCACTCGCTTCCCACACAACGTAATCCGCGCGTCGGCGAAACACCTGCACACAGGATTGCACAAACGATTTGTCAAAACTGATGCTCGCTAACCCCAAATTAATCACAAATTCGTAGAAATCGCGGGTGATTTGTCGAGGCCACGTTGCAATAGCAAGTAAGTTACAACGCGCGTGTCGACCGCAACGTATTTCAGCGTCTTCGCGGAAAGTTCGCTCAGCCTCGGCAGGAACGACGCGAACGCAAGTCGAATCGAACTTCACGCACTCCGACGCGCGGTGAACTCCGGAAACTGCGCGTACCGTGACCCGTAAGAAAGTCGCGATTAAAGTTCGAACGCCGTCACGATCGGAGCAAGTCGACGCGAAGCGAGACGCACGACGCTACTCGGAGGCCGATCACATAGCTGGTGCGAGTCAGGTCAAAACTACAATATCGATCAACCTCACTCCACGACGGCACCGAACGTACTGAAGTGCGACGAAGCTCGGTTCGGCCACGATGAACCTGCCGCGTAGGTGGCGATGGAGGAACGCGCCGCACAATGACGTCACAAGGCTTGGGACGGTTCCGAGGGGCGATGAGCGGTACGTCGATAGCGATAGTGGTAAAGCCGCATTCTACCTTATCGACATGCGCCATATCGACGCTAATATCGGAGGAGCTCTGTGGCGTTGGAATTATTTTTCAAGTTCTCGTAGCAGAGCTCGTTTCAGCCGAACGCGGGTGACGTCGATTCCTTTTATATTTTTACAGTCGACTCGTAAATCCGCGTATGAGTATCATAGCATCGATTGCAACTACAAATTAGGCACTCAACTTGCATACCTGCCAAGCCTCTCCAGCCGCTATTTAGCGCCGCTAAATAGAGCTTTTAAATAAAATTAGCTCTATTCTCACCGCACTTATAGCGTTCATGTCTTATACAGCATGGAACATCCTGGAATCATTCTGATCATTCTGAATGTGAATGCTTCAAGAGTATCTTAACATCTTGAACACATCCAAGATTATCTTAGAACATTTTATGCTATCTGGGGCTACATATGTATGTATGTCTATCGTATTATTTATTATTACTATGTATCGTACAATGTATTATACGATTGCATATTTATGACATTGTAGTCAACCATCAAGTGACAAATTACGCAAAAAGTGACGTAAATTATATCTCTAAATTGCACTTTGCTTTCTCTTTTTTTCGACTATTCTGTAATACAAACTGTTAGTTAGTATGCAAAAATATTCTTTAATGATATATGTCGCTCAACATTGAAGAATAACTGGATGTTTAATGAATAGAAACTCTACTTTTGACAGTTTCCCTTCAATTCAATTAAGCTTCTATCGTATTATACTAATTAATTTAAAATATGCTAAAGCTGTTCGTAACTATAATATCACCCACCAATACTGATATCGATTTATATTACATATTACAATGAGTCATTCCAAAATTCTGTTCTCACTATATTTTATTGTAATATACGTTACAAATATATATTATAAAATATTTTATAAATTTTCCAAACAATTATTTCTTATGGATATGATTAAATGTTCTACAAGGAAAGAAATTAATAACAGTTCATAAAAAATACATTCCTTGTTTTCTTATCATAGAAGAAATTGATAATAATACAGAAGAAAAAGAAAATCATATTTTAAATATAGAAAATAAGGAACATTTTAAGCTCATACATTCGTCATCTACTGTGGTATCAGATAATGATATCTCCATAACACCAAATAAACTTGTTCTACTACTAAAAAGGAAAAAAAGTTCCGTTTTGAAATCACTACTTAACGACAGAGGAAGTTCTCGCTACATTGGTGGAGGATATGATAGCTATTGATCTCTTACTGTTACTGTCCTTTGTAGAAAATTACGGTTTCCGTCAGTTAATGAAAGCAATATTTTCCAAATTTTACGAAAATCCTGGGAGAAAGACATTATCCAGTTACATATATAACAGGTATATATAACAGGTATTATCCGAAAAGAATACAATATAATGGCTGAAAGTTATATCAAATAATCCAGTTCAAATGTTCCAACAAACCTTCCATTCACAAACAATAACATCCTTATAGTAAGTATCTATTTCATTAACGATAGTTGAGAAATCGAATCTTATGTCTTTTGTAAACAAGATCTAACTAAGAGATTTAATCAAAGCTTATCGCTACCATCTTCTTCTTATTTATAGAGAAATAATGATTCGACAGTAACGTGTGTGACTTTCTTAAAATACTGCACTCATTTGAAGACGTGAAAATTTCACAATCTGTAGCACTAATGGTCCAACAGAAAAGTATTTCTGGCGATCGAGCGCGTTTCATTATCGCTCGCGCAATTTTTCCGCTTGTCCAATCATAATTTAATTCGGCATTCCTGCACCGTATGGTCTTTAAGCTTCAAGATTTATCCAGGCTGAACGGCGATGCGTTAGCAATGAAAGAACGCGGAAACGAGATGAGAGTAACAAAACGAAGGGTAGAAAATCGAGAGGAAGCACCGACTAACCCCTCCGTCTTTAAGCCCTCTTCCTTCATCTCTTCTCCTATTCTCATCTCCGCCTCCATCGACGCCTCTCAAGACGTGTAACGAATCAATTGAGATCCGAATCGAGCACGAATTCAGATAAGTAGAACCGGGGCGCCGACTAAATAGGCAAGATATTGCGATGGGATAACTGCGATGGGAGAACTCGAGGACTGACTTGTCAATTACTCTATGCGGAGAGCTGCAGATTTTGTATCTCTCGAAGTGTACATATCTTTTGCGAATAACAAAATAACGGGGTATCTAAGACCTTTTATCGATAATATTATCGATTAATGTAATAATGATGATGACGGTGATAAAGATGATAATGATGATGATAACGATAATAGTGCTGATGATGATGATAATGGTAATGATATATCTGACAATAACATTAATTGTTGATAATTAAAATATTATAAAATATCAATTTATAAAGTATCAATTATTAAAACACGTATTACGACTCCTTACGTTTATCACAATCAAAATAATAGCTAGAGTAATCATTTCGTTCAAATCAAGCCCTACTTCGATAGATTTATATAATCTATGATATTATCTTTATGAACATAATATTTACGTCAAAATTATATATCTCTGCCTTCCATAGATTGTATGCATTTGCATTAAATTTTCATGTGGCTCCGCATCTCCATTAAATAAAATCAATTAAAAAATGACAAGGGAAAAACGTATAACTTAAAAATAATTATACTGAAGCATAACTTCCGATTATCACGACATAATCATTACTTTTGCACTAGCGATTTTCCGATCCTTAAGAGATAAAGCTTCCGAAAACTTTGTTTGAACACGAGGACGAGACGAGCTCTCGACAATTTTCTTCGTACAGAAGCAAACCTGTCCTGTTTGTCGCGAAAATTCACAACTCGATTATTTCTTTTCTAGTTTCAGACTGTCCTTGAGACGCAATACAATCTTAGACACGAATTCTTGAAGAATCGGTTGTCGTGCTCTGCCCACGTCCATTACTTCCTCGTGATTAGCCTCGCAGTGATCCTCATAGTCAGTAACACACTGGTTGGTGATAAGGCTGAACGCGAAGACAGTCAGGTCGCAATGTCGTGCGGTAATCACTTCATGAACCGTGGACATACCTAAATGTTACAGTAATTATCAGTGGAGGACAATTTTTAATATGGTCTTATAAAAAATACTTTATTGTCCTGTTTGTTCTGCGATTTCGATCACCCCACATGACGTTATACAGATAAGGAAAAATGTAGACGCAAAACACATTAAGCTTATGTAAGTAAACCGTTTCTTGAACAAAAAACCAATCGTTTATCTATGAATCAACATATATGTAATATTATTCGCGTAAATATCAGGATGTCGTCAGGATACCAAACAGCATCATTTTGCATCACGTTAGCATTTATCGTCATCTTAATGATCGTATAAATATCGCTTACGTAAAAACAACGAGAGAGCATAGTGTATCTTAAAAGTACGATTCCTCGCGCTTTTAAGTCGACGTGTAAAAACATGACTAGTTTTGCCACGTATCTCTAAAACCTAATTAATTGAATAAAATTACATACCGACTGCATCTACGCCTACCATCCTCAGCATCTTCAATTCCGCTACCGTCTCGAAATTAGGTCCACCTAAGCAAGTATAAACACCTCTGTGCACAATGTCACTGATACCCATTTCTTCAGCAACTTGTGCGCCGATATCCCTCAGCGTCACGTTGTAGGCTTTGTTCATCGGTGGAAATCGAGGACCAAACCTGAGGAGAGAATCGACTGAGAAGCGTGCTGAAGAGATCAATAATGAATAAGAAATACCAAACAGCTGACAAAGACGCACGCATATTGTTGTTGTTTCCACACGCTACACGCGACACTTCATTAACATACGATAACTCGTATTTATTTATTATTATCGAAAAGATGAAGATCAACTTAGTTCCTTCGTATCTAATTTATAACAGAACGCGATGAAAACCCTAAGAGACTCGATGGAAAAGTGAAATTCGCATTGTTAACGAATTCGAATCCGCTCCCGCGTTGGCTTTTTCGAGCAAAAACGTCGGCGAAACTCGTCAGATCCTAGGAAATCGATGAAGAGGTCTCGAAGAAGAAAACGAGAGAGAAAAGGAACGCGAATCTTGTAGAAAGAATAGAATTAATTTATTTCATTGGAATAACCCCTTGAATCAGATTGATGAACTATTTGCACGGCGACATAAAGAAGCTGATTGACGTATTTGCTCAGCAAAGTCTTCCTGTGCTCTGCCGCAGCCTTGTCCCCCACCTTTTCACCTGGTCCCCCACTAAGACATCCCTTCCATCGACACCTTTTTCTCCGAATCCTCTTACAACTTCTTAACCAGCTCGTTCTGCCGCCAGTTGTACCTGTTCTCATTTCCGAGCCGAGTCGACTGAATTTTTTTGTCACGAGTGGTTATGGAAACATAATCATTTTCTTTCTCTATCTCATTCTCTCTTTCTCGATGCTTTCCTGAACAAGCTTTCTCTCCCCGCTTGATCTAACCCTTGATATATAAGTTGACGAAAAAGTCCAATTCTGCATAAGACCTACCTGTCATCGTTCGGTCCTTGAAGCGGGTTGTTTCCAGCAAAACCCATCATGTTCACATGATCCTTCATTATCATGATGTCGCCGACTTTGTAAGTAGGATTTAGTCCACCGGCAGCATTCGTAGCGATTAGATGCGTCACACCTACCAGCTTCATCACCCTTACCGGCATGGCGCACTACGATAATCATCATATTATCATATGATATTTCGATTTACATAATACCTTTTCCCGACGTGCATTCATTAAGACCCGGGGCTGTACCTTCCAAAGCGGATATCCCTCGTAGTAATGAAATCTGCCCTGCATACACATGACTGGTACACCCTGAAGATAACCGAAGACCATTTGGCCAGTGTGACCCTTTACCGTGGACACCGGGAAATGTGGAATTTCTTCGTACGGGAAGCACTGCTTGTCCACAAGGGATTCCGCGATTGAACCTGGACACAACTCGTTTTGCTCATATGATCCTGTTTAGGAATAAACAAAGCTGTGATACGATATGCACGCTAAAAATCCCACAAGCCCGTCCATGCAAAACACGATACCAGCCATTATCGCATCCAATATTCTTCACGCGAACTCACTCTGAAAACCATATCGTGTGGAAAGCTTCAACAGTGAGTGATTAAGAAACTGTGCGGAAACTATTCAGTCTTTTTTTCTCAAATTAACCAATTAAAGAAGCAAACAATAAATAACGTGCTGCTAAGTATTGCTATTCTTAATTCTCCGAGTTCCCCGAGGTGTTCCGACGTATTTCGTCAGTTGCTACTAGTAAGTCTGAGAAAAATAAAATATCTGAAATTGAAAATAAGATTTATATGGTAATATCAAATTTTAACCATTCCAGGGGAAAGGTGAATTAATTTGTTCCTGAAGACGTACTACTTTATCTTAATCTGTTAACCGGATCATTTTTTAATCGGACATCTGAATTTAAATGAGAGGCGAAGTAGCTGAATGAAATTGAAGGTGGAATGAGGAAGTGTCGGAACATATAGTGATTTCGCACTGCAGAGATGAAGAAACAAGTGTTATCTTGATCGTCGTTATCTTGATAAGCAATTTATGTTTGCTTTATTCTTCATAGAAGCATCCGCAATAAGTTAACATCACAAGCACCGAATACATCGAAATGTATGCATTATTATATATTATTGACTATCCCAATGCCAATCCTTAAAAAAAGCTTTCTCATCTCTTAACGAAAAAGCTGACATACCATTGCGTCTTATTACTGTAGGATTAAATGAAGTAGAAACAACCCACAACCAGTCACACTTAGTTGGACACCCGACGAAAACACGAATTCCAACGTTATGAATCCTCAGATCCTTTGATCCATATAGAATATTGTTACATATTGATGGTGCAACACTACCGATTTACATCAAGTAAAATCAAGCAAATTTAAGGACAAACTGTATACATTACAAAAGTGCAAACATAGAGATCTATGAACTAGGGTTGTCAATATCCACAGCTATTCGGATATTATCAGATACTCGAGTCCTCCGGATATTCCTCGGATACTCGAGCACCGTAAATAGAGTAAATGCTTGGATATAAAAAGTAGCCAGCTTATACTGACATCTCTACTAACCCATTCCTGAGCCGCATATAATTCCTATCTTCGGCTTGATCTTAATGCGATCCAACAAATATTGCGCAGACTCCTGCAACGTTTCGAAGGAATACCTAAAAAACCACAAGGTACCATATACATTCAATATTCGCTGCAACATGCACATATACCGAGACATCAAACTGTTACAAACGTGCGCTTTAGAGTTCTTTTATCGAAAAACTGTTACAAACCAAACGTACACTTTATGGCAGTGTCTCATTTATATTCGAATAAAATTCTGATAACCCAACGTTGAAGATGTTCCACGGATATATCGTAGCGAGAATATTTTGTAATATCATGAAAGTTCCTAATCTTCAACATTACATTTCTGACAAACTGCCGAACATTAGCGCATGATATTACGAATCAGTTTACACTTATTAATTACATAGAGACATTGCTGACGATACAAGAGAGCTCTTAGATGCGCAATCTAACATGGCGCCGCTGTCGCCTTCTCTCTATGTCGATATCACAGAAACATATTAAAGCGTATTCAACAGATTGGTACTGATTAAGCGGTCGTCGTACCCGTTGCTTTAGCTTCCACGATTACTCGGCTATATTAAACGTTCCCTCATAATTGCATGTAATTGCATATCTAGACTTCGCAGTAATAACAACTATAGAAACCAGTTATTACCGTAAAGTCCTACCAATGCGAGCAATTTGAAAAGTTCGATATAGCAAGAGTGTTCGTTCACGATAGCTGTGAATTTATACAATAATTTTGTCAAGGATTAAATTTTAAAATTACACACTGAGAAAAGTCTCAGTTGAGTCTTCAATTCTTTGAATTCATCTCATACATGAGTTGACTTCTCGCATTTCCGAGTCCTTCAAGTCTTAAATTCTTGAGTCTTAAAAAATTCGAATTTTCGAAACTTGAGACATTGAATTGTGAGATTTCATGTCTTGCATTTTGTAAAGTTGAAATAAGCAGCAAAATGATTAAGACCGGCGAGTAAAGTTGAATTACAGTATTCGAATTGTTGCGTGGACGCTCGTTCATTTCAATGAGCGAAAATTTTGTGTGTGTATATGTGTGTACATGCACAATAGATGAATTATACGTGGACCTCGCATGCACAGGGTGTAACTGAAATTGCTAGAAAATTCGAAGGAAAGTACAGATCGAAATCGCAGTCGTGTTTACACGTGTGTCTGTCTTCTTATTTAATCCTCGAACGTCATTCGAACAAAATAAAATATCGTCAAACCACACCTACTGTCCGAAACGCTTTTTTTTTTCAATTCAAGCATCATAATTTAACGGACACGTTAACTGAATCATTGAAACACAAGAATGCCGCATTTCACATGGTTGCACGGTCATGAGTCACGCGTACGTGATGCATTGATTGATTCTCACGGGAGAGACCGATGTCACGTACATGCGATAATTTTTCATTCCATGTCCATATAAACGAATTAAATCTATTTTACAATATTACATAAAATAATAAAAGATGGCCTGTGTGACGAACGATTTCCCAGATGGACGAGTAACAGACGTATTTAGCAGACTTTTTTGAATTTGTCCTTCATGCATGAAATCATTGATGTGTCATATTTCGCAGACATAGAATATTCGAACTAATCAGGCCTGCCTGATAGTCATTAAAGAGTCACCGAATCAAGGTGGGTAAGACAAACGATCTGTTCTCATAACTAACGGAATGTTACCCTTGAGTGAGTACACGTCAAAGAATACCATGACGAATTGGAAGGAAACGTTTTATCGTAGCTATGTATAATACGCAATAATTTTTTTTATGACACTTTAATGTCATTGTAAATGTTTCATCGCAACTAGTATGCATCAGTGACTTTTCTAAATAACATTGAAAACTTTAAAAAAGTCGTGTTAACGTCTGAATATCTAATAACTTTGGTGGAATAATGCGTTACTTTATAATTCTTACGTAACGAGACTTACATTTTTGCTTCGACCAAATATCACTTTCGAACGTGAGAATATTAAAAATTCTCCAACTTGCACCTTGCCACATTCTCAGACATGCGTTCTCTATTTAATTCAACCAGCAAGTGAAGAGACTTCGTAAGGCGAGCGATTTGTCCAGAACACCCCGTATATCCGCGAGCACATTTCACGTACGCACACGTGTTCCGATGCGTGATTTGTAATACCCCTGAAGCCTGCGTTACGCATTTAGCTTAAATCCGCTACTATTTGAGTCTGCCGGTAGTTTAGCAGGTAACCGCACCGTTTTGTACTAGTTTCAGAGCGAAATTACGTTGAATTGCAATGAGCGCACGCGCTCGCGCGCACGTACACGCATCGGATACTTGGTCCGTTCGTTTTGTGTTACATTTGCGAAGAGTGGGCTCAACTAATTCGCGATATTGGCGTTATCGCGTTTGTTCGGAGGAGACAAACTCATCGTGTATCCCAACTCAATAATTCAGCTACATTTTACAGATTCCTCTTACTGTCGCAACATCGTGCTATGTTGAAATGCCATTAACCCTCCGATAAGATAAAGCATTTCGAAAGCCGTTTTTGAAATCCATCTTCAACTTATTTAAATGGGCTTTAGTCGCGATTTCCGCACGATGATTACAGTCACAAAGTTGCTTATTGTTACACTTTAAGACATCGTAAAAAGATACGGCTCGTAGTAACATTTTTATTTAACACGAACTCTTTTTAGTGCTCTCGCAGGGCTTCAACATTCACCGGACGACATCTTCTCGAATTAAAACATTTCACTCAAATATTGATATGTATCGCGCTATTTATAATAAGCGAGATAAGAAATAGTAATCGCTAACTTCAGCTGACATTTGACACGTGATAAATATATTGTATTTACTCAACACATGAGACAATTCTTACTTATTCTGTAATTTTAGGTTTCATATAATACATGTCACGTACCAACTATCAATTATTATTTAGTTTATACGTTTCTTAAAATGCTCGGAATTTTCCATTGATTGAACAGCTTGGAGAAATCTGCCGTCTGGCTTAAATTTTATTTATTGGAATTCTACTTATATCTAAAGATATATATCTCCTTGAAGACTCTCTTCCCTTGGACATTTCTTAAAGATCTGTACAAAAAGTTTAAATTTTACCTGATATGCGATGGACGTAAAATTAGACAATGCGTTATGGGCAAAGAACAACAAAAAAGCGAGTTATTTCTAACGATGGATACAGTATTTGCTTCAAGTTTTATTTTCCGCAAATACAACGTTTGCTTCAATCCTTATCCTAACTGCTCAAACAATGCCCAATTGCTGAAGCAATGAACACCTGCGGATATTGCGAATCGATCAAACAGCAATTCGACCATTTATTTCTTTGGAACCGTACAGTCAACTGATTAAAAGGTGCATCGCTTTGCCACTTTCTCATCGGGAGAAAAAAGATGCAACCTTTAATCAGCTAACTGTACTGTAAACTACTTGCGTGCTAAAACCTTAAATTATTCGAACAATTCGAGCACGTGCTTATTTGTATTGGTTAAATTCTCCGCGCCGAAATTTAGCAAACCATTTTTCCACAGTTCGTTTAGCTGGTGCTTCATCCTGATAAACATCCTGAATGTTTTTTACGGCTGCGGCAACGTTTATTCCCTTCCGAAACTCGTAAAGCATAACATGCCGTAAATGCACCTTATCGATACTCATTTTTAAAGTGATATTTCTCGAAGCAGTTTGCATGAAAACAAATGATTTTTTTTTTAATAACAGCTGAAGACGTCACCTTTCCAACGTTATATAATATGTAGATGGAAGTATTAATGACAACACTTTACGACGCTTATAACTCCATCTATTGAAACTCCGCACGAACTTTTGCACTCACCCAATACGTATCTTGACTTTAGCTTTTCTCACGTCAATAATTACGATATCTCGATATATATATATATATATATATATATATATATATATATAATATGCCGGTAGTTTTAAATATTTTAACAATTATCAGTTGTGTTTTTCCTTGAGATATTTCTCCGGAAAGAACGTCTTATAACATAAGACTTTTTTCCGGAGAGAAACACAGCTGATAATTGTCTCTTGGAAAAACGCAGCTGATAAATGTTAGGATACTTTAAACTACCGACGTATTATTTGAAATTATTTTGCTAAGGAAACCTTACACTTGACTTACGTGTGTCGCATGTGCTTCGCGTTTGTATCCATGTCACTGTTGTTATTAGTTAATTGTTTTATAACTGGCAGACTGCTGTGACCATTTGCGATATCCGGGAAAGGCATTTTCACGACTAACGACGTACGAAATAAATATCACTCGTCTACGACGACTGATAAAGATAAAGTAACAAGCGACTGACTGATTATTCAACTAGCGTTTGCTATATGTCGTGTGCTGGCGACAAGTGGCTGACGTGACTTTCATGTGCGCTTGTTTTATAAAGGAGCTCAAGCGCAAGTTGAAAAACGTGAACGCAAATGAGTCGACCAATGATACTGAGCGCGTGCAGACACATCGACCAATCAGCATGTACAAAAGTCCAGGCGTCACAGGGCCTGAACATTAGGAGGGAATCAGTGGAAAGAAAGAGAGATGGAAAGAAAGAAAAAGAAGAGCAAACAATGATAACCCATCATGGAGCGAGTGTGTCAATTATTATTATTTCTCCCAACTATGACGTCGATCTCGACAAGGCGTGAAATCTCACGCAACACAATGCCAGGACGATATTTTAGCCGCTCAGTGAGGCCGCTCGATTGGACTTATTTTAGGCCTGTGAGCGCATTTGAAGCGATTATTAGAAATACTGATTATTATTAGCACTGCTGATTAGATAATTATGATCAATATCACACGCATCAGAAATTTAAATACGTGAAGATCAACGAGATACGCGTATAATTGCGGCCTGTTATGATAACAGCTGAAATGCGATTGACTCTCAATATCATTACAATTATACAATTAATCGATTGTTTTTCTGATATTGGCGCATTAATATATCAAAGAGCTTCTTTTATTCACTTGATCATGGTCGTTGATCATCGCGAATAAGAAATTAAATGATTAAGGGACGGGGAATAAGTAACGTCGAGCCTTTTTATCTCTGTACACGTACACGAACAGTACGGGGAATAAAATTTAAATAATTCAAAAATTACATGGTAAAACTCTCAATTATGCATGAAGGAAGCGGCGATATTATCGGCGAGATCTGCTCGCTTGATTATCGTTGTTTAGCATGTGATATAACAGCCAAAGGCTCGAAAAAATTATTCAGTGATTCTATTCGACGCCTCTCCGGTGTTCGACGTAATAAATACATTACATATATATCGCATGAGGACACAAAAATTAATGAGATCACCAACGTAACAAAGAAAAAATATTCTTGCATACATTTTGACAAACCAAGGTGATCCTCTTCGCAGCAGCCGCCTCAGGAAACAACAAACCAACAGCAGGAAACGTTTCTTTTCGCCTTTAAGAATCAGTAGCGGATAATTTTAGCCAACGGTGTCTTTGTTTTACTTGTCCGCTCACGTCTTCCAGAATGTGTTTTCAATTACGTCCGGACTTATCACATCTAGCTCGTCTGTGAGCCAATTTATAACCACGGTGAACGTTGCAGTGATTAGCGTGTTGTGGCATCTCGCGCACTTCTTAATCCACAGATAAGCGCTACCTCCTATGAAGTAGGATTTATCACGACGTGATTAAAAAAACATTTGAAACTGTGTGACTAATCGAGCAAAGGTATACAACGGATAAAGATTTCTATTGGTGTTTCCGGGAGAGTGAGAGAAGCAATCTCCAACGGTTCGTCGCTTCTCGGTGAAGTTACTTTGCAAAGGAGATCACCTTGATTTAGAAAAATATGTACAAGACAGGATTCTTTTACATTAGCATTGCTTCCATGAGAGATCTTGTCGATACGAAAAAAACGTTGCTCGATCGACAGGAAAAGCAAAAGATATCTCTAATGTCGCGATTATGTAATTGTAACGTTGTATCGACCGAAAAATTTAATGTCGAGACAAATTTCATTCTCTCCACGTGTGCTCTCTTCAAAAAGTTCACCAGCACATCGCAGTTTAAATTATTTACTTTCCTTGTAAATATTATCAAAGATAGTAACTTTTCGCTTGTGACCATCAGATCTTTCTTTTCACGGCAGAGTTTCAAGTACAAGCTTTAGTGCTTTCTTCACACTCTACTTTTCTCAGATTCGGAGATAATTACATCTGCCTTGGATAAGTTGGAAAAGTTAGAGTCGAATCAACAACTCTGGATCGAATCGAGGAAAAGCCTGACTCGCTCGTGGAGCATTTGGCTTCGTTGATTTTCGTCAGAGCGTGTCGAGTACCAATGCGCAAAGGCATTCTCATGAGATGTTATTAAGTAGTTACTCTACCTCGGAACACATGCTGTACTACGCATATGGCGACACGTATCCCCAAAGGGCACATTCGCCCATTCGCGACTTTTGCAAATTCAGATTGATTTAGATTAAGTTAATCTAAGCTTAACCGTACTCAACGTTATCTTGATAAAATATCGATTAATGCCTTTAGCTCTGAGCGTATTATTAAATTTGTTTATTAAATAAGTATAGATATTGAGTATAGATTTATGTTCAGAATTGAACAAAACTCAACCTGAACATCTTGCAGAAAATTTCCGGCGAGAAGTTTCTAGAAGATTACAGAGCGGTTCTGGTCGTACGTGATCAAAATGTGATCGCAGCCGAACCGTTCTTTCGGAGTTCGCATCGAGCGACGTGTCATACTATCTCATCTTCCGAGATATCGTAACCCGAGTCACTAAAACAAAACTCCGCGAATCGGAACATAGTATGTGGAACTTTATTTATACATATTAGATGGATCATACTATATCCGCTATACATATCTCGGATCGATCATTCCTTCGATTCCCAACCAATCATAGAGTGACACACTACATACGATCAATCTAATGCATAAGTCTGAAATCCGCGATTAGAGTCAGATGCGTTATTATCAGAATTAAGTTCATCTGCAAACTGCTCAGCCGCGTGTTTCATTTTTATTTCATCTCAGGTTCACATTTGTGCAGCATATCAGTATTACACAATATAAAATTGTGTCAGCGTGGCGGCAGTCAACCGTTGACCAATTCGAGTTCGTAAGCGAGTTCGCAAGCCATCCGGACAATTCAAAGGTATGTCTGAAAATTTTCGAGCGAAAATCATCGCGGCCGTTCAATGCTGTCGCTGAGATTCGCATATAAACAGTTGTATCATTTTTTGATAAATTAACTGTGAATCGTGCAGCAAATACGTCGCATCATTTGCTCTCCCGTCTTTCTACGACTGTCTATTGCGTTACGCGCGCATTTTCGCTGAGTAAATCCAGCGTTTCGAGTCGTCGATCGTTTTGCATATAATCAACCTACAACAATTTATATAACAATATATATTTTATATTATATAGCTATTTGTATTATTATTATATAATTACATATATATATATATAAATTAATTATTTATTAAAAAGTGCATCTTTTCGTATTTTTCTTCAGTTTTCTCTACATCACCGCACGGACATTTCAAGAGCTTCTGAGGGAACTTTTTTATGAAACTATTTTGAAATCCTATCACGAAACGAATTTTTAGCAACAAACATGATATATTGCAGTAGTGAGAAAAATTAGGATACATGATACGTACATAGAATCAAATGTTTAGCACGTTACGTTGTACAAATAAAATAAGGAATAAACCTGCTGTGGCAAAATAAATGACAAATGTAAATTTAGAAATCAAAGGAGTGTCGATATCATTACTTTTCATTAGAGTAGATTAGATGCAGTTTTTATTGCTGAGATATTATATATATAATTAATGTTTTTCACAGAGTTTCAGTTTAATAGTACAAATAGATAACGTAATTTTATCTATCAGTTTTTTCTAAATAATTCTTCCTTTGATAAGATATATTAAAGTAAAGTGAATATTACGATAAATGATTATTTTTTCTTACATTGTTTTCGAGAGAAAACTTGCGCTAAGTTTGATCAAGAAGCTATAGCTTGTTACTAAAAAGCATTTTTGAACGTATGTATATATCGAGAAATATATAATTTTCCATTTTCAATTTTATTAACAGTCTAATATAAAATGTAATAATATAAACTGCACAAAGAGAAAGAGAACAATAAAAAGAATATTAGAAAGATGATCTCCTTTCTTAAAAATTACCAAATTTTATTGCTGAGAATAAATCGATTCGACCATTGCATCGCAATTGTAAAGTTGATCAACGTTCTGTTTAACGATGCCGTAATACTTAAACGCAATTGCGTACTTAATTTAAAATCATAACTTACGATAAGTTATGAGTCTCGTAGGTCAGGCGATAAGATAGAACTCCAACGGATTTATAGATTACATTCGAGTTTGGTTTCACATTCTTATACTTGTTTTCAATTTTGTCATACGCCTATACATATAAATTTATCACGATTATTTGTCCAGTTCAGTAAAACAATAAATGTACAATTGCTTTAACTAATATCGACTTTATTGCTTAAATTTTTAAATAATTCCAAAGACAACACGGTTATTTTACATGTCAATAAATATATATCATTCTCTCTTTGTTTCTTTTTTTGTCTTTCTCTTTTCCTTCTTTACTTATTTATGTTTATGTACATTTAGATACATACTACATAAAAATACAATATCTTTACTAAGAGCGTTTCTCAAAAATAAGAATGTTTGAACACTTTTAGCAATTCAAAGCCCGTTTAAAACTATAGGTCCCCTACGTCCCCTCGTTAATCTACACATTAAAGTCTAAGACAGGAATCTCCACGTTCTGATAAGAATAATAAGACGAAAGGCAGCATAGAAATATGTTTAATATATTAAGGTTCCCAAAATTCTCTGTTGAGATATAAGGGTTAAAAACTTTTCGATAAAACAAATATTATCAGTTTACTGAAACGAGAAAGTAAGCTCAAAACAATCGTCATTACGAAAGCAAGGACGTCAAACCGAACGCAAGTGTCAACTACATAAACCACTGGGGTGCTGCCTTATCTCCTGACCCCACAATAATTTCTCGCAAACTCCCACAACTCATCGTAACAAATTTAAAAGTCCAGTTGCATATAAATACTATAACCACCATCAAATACTGATCAAGTGTACAATTACACGAGACGCAGTAGCTAAGCCAAATATATAGGGTGTCCCAGAACAATTGTGCTACAGTTCGTAGAAGTATAGAATGAATTAAGGTGAATAAAAAAGTCCCATACTATTTTGCGATATTTGCAATAATTATTAAGTCATTTACCAGCTCACTGGTAACTCATATAACAGCGAAAAATAGAAATACCACAATTGGTAATGATTCATATATGGGCACCATGAATAGTTATGCCACTTTCCAACGAATTTGCACCAAACTTGATACATCCATGTTTTTTGAATCGCTGATTATAGATTCGGAATCAAATTTGAGAAATTCATAATGACGGATCCAATATGACGGCACTTAAATATTCAATTTTGTCAGTTTTTAAAGAATATTTATCAAAATTGATATCCCTGTTTGATTTTGTATAAAATTTTCTTTGTAAAAGATTTGTCGAGTCGTTGGTGGTGAATCTGGGATTGAAAATTCAAAATTTAAAGTGGCAGATCCAATATACTGTTTCCAAGTGACTAATTCTGTTATTCTGTTATGAAGAAGATTATATTCGACATGTTTTTCAGGTTGCTGATGATAAATCAGATCGAAATTGCAACATCTAAAATAGCGGATCCCATATGACGGCTTCTAGTGACTAACGGTATTCCATTATGCATACTTTTATCTTCATTATTAGCGGGTGAAATATATTGAAAGAAACTACTTCTTTACCGAATAGCTCTGGTGGAAACTTTAGATTTATGATAGTTATTATTTGCGACCAAAAAAACATACCATGTTATATTAAATATTAAAGTTATTTACTTGAAGCCGCTATATTGGACCCGCCATTTTGAATTTTGAAATTTTGATCCTGGATTCGTCACTAGCGATCTAAAAAAAAACTTTATAGGTAAACTATCATGTAAAATACGAAATTATCCATATCAGTTCTGACACTAAATATTGATTTCAAATCCACCAGTGAATTAGTTAATTATAGAAATCAGATGAATTAGCGCGCACCAAGATAATAGAAGAGAAGCGTTTGAGTCATTCTCGGACCGTAGTGCGGTCCAGTCATTCTCACAATTGTGATTACGCGATAAAGACAATACGTTGCTGCTTGTAATTGTAATCGCGACTATTTTGTGACCACACATATCGATATGAACTTAGGTGCAGTGCGACAAGCTAAATGTACGATGCATTGTTCTCCTTATTACGCGACAATAGTTGCGAAAACAACTGGGCCACACTAAAGCACGAGAACGGCTCAAACGCTTCTCCTCTATCTCAGTGTGCGCTCATTCATTCTACTTCTGTAATTAATGACTTGATAATTATTGCGAATATCGCACAATAGTATGGGACTTTCTTGTTCACCATAATCCGTTCTACACGAACTGTGACACAATTGTTCTGGGACACCCTATATGCGTAGCATATCACAAGCACATATATGCGTGCACGTTGATTAACAGATTTAACGTTCTTTTTTGTTGCCTGGATGAAACTAGCAATATCTCTTTTTCATTGCGCGATTCTGGCTACGCTACGATCGATAACATTGCATTATACACACATACGGTACAATCAAACGAATATTTTACTTCGCTATTGCCTAGCCGTGCAGTTACTGAGTAACGCTCGTATTAATTAACCAATAACGATCAATTATTGACCCGTGAAGGACAATTGGTCAATATGGCGGAGGGAATCCATTAACGGTAACTTTATCGGAAAAACGCATATCATAAGTTGTCGAGTATGTCGGATGTTACTAGACTAAATGGAATGTTCTAGTAACACGATATCGCTTACAAACTTGTTATCGGTTTGTTTCTACCGTATTTTTTTTTTTCAACTTCGTACGCTTCGCGAGTTAAATTCGCGAAAAAGTCGCGAGTGAATATCGTAGGAAAAGAATGCATTATAATTAACACAAAAATTAATAGGAAATATGATATTCAAGCAGTTAACAGCAGAAGGTTGAAAAGGAGCGTCAATTCACGAATGTTTTAAAAAATCCAGTCCTATTTCACAAGATAATTAATAACAGTCTCACTAATCTACTTTATATAGTACCGCGTCCATTTATTTTTGCTCGCTACATCTTTCTTAAGCAAATTCGGGAATTATAGAGAGACACTTGCAAGTTCTTACGCAGAATGAGAAAAATGACAACGAGTCATTGGCTGCGTTCAGCAGAACAAAGTGATCAGTAAGCGCTTAGTGATTCTCGCTTCTGATTGGTAAATACTTTTGGGTCTATGAAGAATCTAAAAGAATGCTCCAATCACAGACAATAATCACTAAGCGCTCACTGATCATTTTGTTCTACTGAACGCAGCCAATCACATTTTGTGTTTCGATGAAGAGTGAAAAAACTGAAAAAAACTGATTCGTTGTCCTTTTCCTTATTTTGTATAAAAACTTGCAAGTGTCCCTCTATAATTTCCGAATTGTTCAAGAAAGATGCAACGCACGCAAAAATAAATGAACGCGATATTACATAGTAAAGGCAACATGTAATATTGCATTCGTGGCTTGGATCATATAAAAGGAAACGATATTAACCGTGCAGGTCAACTCCGTAGTTTATCCTGAATAAAGATGGCGGGAACCCAATGGAGAAACAGTATTCATATACGTACTGTATATTAAGCAACAAGTAGGAACACTCACGGTTGCCTATTTACCTCAGGGTTAACCAGACGCTGATAACAGCCATATGCCTACAATTGTCTCTATGCTTCGCGCGTTAACCTTTCCATTCCCGCATTATTTAAAGTAGCAGCATCGATGGTGTACAAGACACTTGATTCAATTCACTTACATCCACACATGCGACTAATATGGATTGCAATATTTAACAAACATCGAATTATTTTCTTCAGTGCTAATTTATTAATAAAATGTAATTCTGACTAATCTAAAATATATACTATAATCGGTCCCACGAATTGATAATTACTTACTGAGCATTTCAATTCACTAAACTAAGATAACATACGCAGAATGTCTCATTTAATAACTTAAAATATTTTACGAAGTATTTTATTTAATGATGCGGAAAAAGTACTAAAAAAAATAATTATATGTCAAATAACATACTTAGCGTAAAATTTATAATTATTTTACATTGCAAAAAATCGTACCTTCTCAAATTTTAATTTCAATATGAATAATGTTTCTTTAAATGGAAATTGCATATTTTTATTAACATTATGTTATGAGAGCGGAGATTGAAATGAATTAAATGAAACAAATAATATTTTCAAAAAAACCTACAAACTCTTATGCTGAAATAAATTTTGGTATTTTTATTATAAGATATTAACCTGTTCTATACTGAGTGCACTAAATATTTTTACGCACGGTTTGACAAAAAAGGAAGAAAAGTATAAAAATATAACAAAGTCAATTAAATCTAATGGGCCTGCTACAAACTTGTGCGAAAATCGAATATTTCTCGATTGATATTGCAAAATGAACTCGCAATAACATGTTTATTTAGGTCGCGATTGCATAAGAAAATTATAGTGAAGATAACTATAAGATGTTTGCCTGTCCTCTTCGTTTAGCTTAAGGACAATTTAAAAGCCACTGATATGGTATATTAAATGGTCTCTCTCCCTCTCTCCCTCTCCCTCTCTCCCTCTCACTCTCTCTCTCTCTCTCTCTCTCTCTCTCTCTCTCTCTCTCTCTCTCTCTCTCTCTCTCTTTCTCTCTCTCTCTTTCTCTCTCTCACACACGCACACATACACAAAGAGGGAGAGAAAGAGAGAGAGAGAGAGAGAGAGAGAGAGAGAGAGAGAGAGAGAGAGAGAAATATACATTTACTGCCATGATCACGAATAATATGAATATAGATTGAATTTCGCATGCTCGAGTTCTAAATTATTCTTATCCTCAATAATCTCTACAAATGTGTTCGAATTATTTAAACAATTTACAGCTTTTCTTTATTCTGTCTTCTTATTTATATGATTTACAATAATGTTTATATTTTATCTTGGATATAGAAGAAAAAAGATCTATGTAAATATACATTAATGCCCAGACAGCACCGGACATCCACTGGATGTACGTTTCACGTCCAATTTATGTCCGTATGTCCGATTTACGTCCGTGGACATAAATTGGACGTAACAAGGATGTCCTTATTGGACATCGGACCTGTAGGACGTCCGATGTACGTCCATCGGACAGGCAAACATCTTATAGACAAACGTACGTCCTATGGATGTCTTTTGTAAAAAAAATGAATATATAACGGACGTCCAATGGACATCCGTGTGCTGTCTGGGTGTAGATAATATAGCGAAAGTTCATATAAATGTAATCTTAATATGTATAGTGCAACCATAGTTTAAATAATTCCAACTTTACAACTTTTTAAAAACAACTTTTTACAAATAAATGATAATTCATAAACTCTATATATCACTCAATATATCATCAATGCATTCGGTAAGGCAGTCTCTTTGTCTTCATTTGGTAAGTAAGGAAACTCTCTTATGACTGTTATTTTTAGCAGAGTAGATAAATTATCTACTGTTATTATTTGTTGATTATTATCAATCGCCAACGTTTTTATCGGCAAAGATTGAGAACAGCGAAATTTCAGCATCAAACGGCAGTGTCGCTATCATATTGACATTTCTATGGCTTCACAATTTTTGTTATGGATGATATGTCAGAGTAAACGTGTTTAAAAAATTGTGAAAAATACTAAACTATCATAAATAGACACGTATAATATATCAGTATATTAATAAAAAGTCAGTACACTTCTATTAATCTTCGACTTTAAATCTACTAAAATATATATGCTAAAGACTTATAACAGAAAGCAAATTAATTGCAGAAACACATTTTGAATGAAGCCAAGAAAATTTATTGACAAATATAATGCCTAACACAATTCTGGAGAACCTGTTGACTGTTTTGAATTCAATACTTTTAGAATGTGTTTCTTTAATTAAGCTATTTGACATAAATATATATACACGTAATATATTAACTGAATAGTGGTCTAACAATATGAATTTTCATTGCTGTTTTTATTCAACAGATACATTTAATTATTTGTGCTGTGTGAAGTTTTAACTTTAAAAGTAATGTCTACTCTGGAGGATAAGATTTTAGGAGAGAAACTGCAATATTATTGTAGTAGTTCCAGTGAAGACGAAAATGATACTGGAGAATCCGATAAAGAATATGATGATATGAAGTATACAGAAAATACTGGACAATATGCTGTACCTTCTTATTCAGAATGGGAGGGAACTTCCAGCAACACAGGACCTAAAGGTGTCATAAAGGTAAAATAATACAAGGAATATTTCTGAGAACTTAAGTTCTAAAAGATATAGCTGAAATCTAGTTAAGAGTTAAATATAACTTAATATTAATTTAAAATATATTCTTTAAAGGATTGGCAACGATATAAACAACTAGAAGCTGAGAAACGAGAATTACAAGAAAAGGAAAGATTACAATTAATAAAGAAATTAAGTTTAACATGTCGCAGTGCTTTAGACGAGGAGAAAGAAAAACTCAATGAAACAGATCCAGACCTAGCTAATTTACTAGCTGATGAATTCCTTCTAGAATACCAAAGACAAAGGATGAAAGAGATGCTTTCAAAAGCAGAGAAACTTCAATTTGGGAAAGTTATTAATTTGGAAAGCACAGACCAGTTTCTACAGGCTATTGATGAAGAAGATAAATCAGTGACTATTATTGTTCACATTTATGAAGATAATATACCTGGTTGTGAAGCTATGGATGGATGTTTAATATCACTTGCCGAAGAATATCCTCATGTGAAGTTTTGCAGAATTTTAGGTTCGTTAGTAACTATAAAATTATATATTTTTGCAAGAGTACTTTTTTCATACCAATTTCAATCAGAATCTTAACTTTTATTTTAAATGGTAATAAATATTTCATTCATAATAAATATTCAAAATAATCTTTATATTCTGCTTTTTCAGGATTAACTGCTGCTCTCAGTACACAATTTAAAAAATTTGGCACACCAGCTTTGTTAGTGTACAAAGAAGGACAATTGATAGGAAACTTTGTACATGTGACAGACCATTTAGGAATAGACTTTTATTCATCAGATGTGGAAGCATTCCTTATCGAACACGGAATACTTACCGACAAAAATTGCATACCTCTAATTATCTCAAAGAATGAAATCAAAGACTCTGTTAGTGAATGAAAGAAATTTTGTATCTGCTCGTGTCTTAGGATAATTTATTGAAATTTATTTTAATTACACGAATTCAACAAGAAATTTAGAATACTATTAGGATTCCTTATGAGGAATAAATACGAGGATTATAAAATTACCAACTGTTGGTGAGTTGTACAATTCATAATTAGTGAATTATTTCCTATATTAACTAAATTGTATTAACTAAATATAATTAACCATCAGATTTATCAAAAGATTTACAAATCAATATACAAAACTCAAATATAAATACAAAAGAAAGTAAGATATAAAACCAAAGAATTCTTTGTTTTTCTTGCAATCTCGTTTCTCGATTAAATATTCTTTTGATAAAATTTCCTGCGCATTTTACATTTGTTTATAAAATTATTTTAATATGTTCAACATTTGCTCCCTTTTCTTTACTGCTTTACAAAGCTCTGTGTAATTTTTCACAACCTCATCGTATTCTGTATTTTTCAAGTTTTCATAGAGCTTTTTCAACTCTTCTTTTTGGTGGATTTCATTTGTAACTGCCTTTAATTTTTCTTCAATCACTTGATTTAGTAGTCTAAAAGCATCAATGGTAGTCGGAGTCTCCTTAAACATCTTGATCCTACAAGAGAGCTTTGTAATTTTCGCTTGCAGGTTTGCAACCTGTGCTTGCAGTAACAAATGTTCTGACTTTTCTAAGTAAGTTTTACTCATATCTTCATATTTTAATTTATTCCATTTATCCATCAAATTTATATATTTTTGCAAAGCACTTTCATACTCTAAGCTTGCTTCTTCAATACGACTCTTCCATTCCATTATTTGTGTATTATAGCATTCCAGGTTCTTATAGCGCATGTTATATTCATTGCTCTTCAATGTTTCTTTGACATTTCCTCCTAAAGTTTCATATCTATAATATGCAGGAAAGCAATATAATTTGTTTAAATTGTAGATATCTTAAATTATATTAATTCATCTAAAAAATTATTAAATATATTCTAAATAGTAACAGATATTAAGTAAAAAATAAAATTGTTTTTAAATTATGATCACATTTACCTTAAAATCATGTCATGTATTTTCTCTCGAAGTATTGTTTCCAGACAACATTTTATTTCTAACTTTTCATCAAAACTTAAATCAGAGAATGGTAAATTATTAATTCCCAAAAGTGTCAGATCATCTTGCATATGTTGCGATGATGGGGATGAAGCAAGATGCATGTATTTGTCAAGCTCATGAGTTAAAAGCAATGCTTTTAGTTTAGTTACTGTACTTTCAGAAAGAGTACTTTTATGATTCAAACATGCTTCCTTAATACATTGATAAACAATAGTAGCTTTCATATATTCACACATTGTTCGGGAATGCATGTGCCGCCAGAACCCGGTTACCTTGAATAGGTGGGCCGATTCTTAAGAGGAACGGCCCTCTGTGTCGACCTCCGATTCCAAGCAAATCTACTTCACACTTCGGGTTGGTAGCCAATTACCAAACACCTTGTATTTATATATGATATATATCGTATATAATCTTCATGATATTAATCATACACAATCTCAATTCTTCTTTTCTTTTGCGCATGTTAACATGTTAATTAATGTTACAAATGCACAAGAATGTGCGAGACCGTGCTTGTCAAGTACGCTATTATTATTTTCTTCTGCACCGCTGCACTGGTGCAATAAGTTAAAGTGAGACAAATATATACTTGTCTCACTCAAACTTATTGCACTATTGCAATTGCACTTATTGCAGCGGTGCAGAGGAAAAGAACAGACCTATTGTATAATTGGATGACGATCAATAGGCCGTGTCTCTACGGTGATTTCATCGTTCGTGGCCGAAGGCGAATTGGCCAGCGACGCATGCGTATTCGACGCTGCGCAAAATGCTATTGCGCACCCAACCAGATCCCGGACAGTAGAGACTATATAGAAAAATTTCCCAGTAGAGAGAAAAGAGAGAATTTGTTAGTGGAAAAGTCACGGAGCGTAAGTAAATAAAGAATCGTGCGGGATATTTTGTGAGCTGGGCAGACGGGCGCTTGATAAATCAATCATTCGACGTGCGGATAATCGATGGGGACGAAGGGTTTTCGCGAGGATACAAAGGAGAGCGCGAGAGATCGACGTTGCGAGCTGTCTTGCATGATTAAGGTTAAAGAACGAGAACAGGTATATGCCCGGGCGAAACAGTCAGGCAGGTAGGCTCGAACTAATTAACAACGTATTTTCTTGTGAACGGATCGTGACTTCGTCTCGAGTGGCGTTTGCAAGTGACGTTTTGGACGAACTGCTCCGTGGATATTGTCGTTGTCGTCATCATCTTCAACATTGTCGTTGTCATCGTCATCATCATCATCGTCGTCGTTGTTGTTATTGTTATTGTCTTCATCATTATCATCATCATCATTATCATCATCATCATCATCATCATAATTATCGTCATCATCATCATCATCGTCATTGACGTTGGTGGCTTATTCCGTTTACATAAATGGAAAGCCGATACTGCCGTCTCGTATGCACATCGTTCGGTCGTGATCTTCTCCAAAGTTCACGTGTTGCCTGAAGAACATACACGTGAAGGGAGAGAGATGAACATAAAGATCTTCGGTAAGATCGGTGACGGAGAAAGAGATCATTCTCGGAGCAGAAAGGGACGGTGTAATCGGTAGTACATAGTGTTAGTCTCGTCAGCACCGTTCGCCTACCCTCCTTACCCACCCACTCATCCACCTCGTCTCTTCTCTCTCACTCCCTCTCCATCTCTCTCTCCCTCCCTCTCCTCTCCCCTCCTCTCTCTCTCTCTCTGTCTCTGTCTCTGTCTCTCTGCCTACAGCACCGTCTCGATCCTTCTCGTTCCCCCCTCTTACGCGCGCGTTCTCTATCTCTCTTTCTCTGTTTCGCTCGCTCACTTAGCTAGCCTCTCTCGCTCCGCTGTTTCTCCCGCATTCGTTTTTTCCCTTGGAAGTCTCACGTCGCGAAACGTCGGGGAGACCGTCATCCTTGCATATACACTCTCGCGTACGCGATTCGCGGTCGTGGAGGCGCACCGAGAGACAGAGAGAGAGAGACGGCGGAATTTACGTGTCATGCCCCACCACGCCGGCCTTCTGTAGATTTTCGCGTAGGTTTCTGTTATGGCGTAGCCAGTAACCCTTTCACTCGCTCCCTGCTTGACGTTTCTCGCGTTGCCTCTCTACTACGCTCTCCGCGGACGCCACCAACAGCTGTTTCGTCCGATCGTCGCCCTCTCATACGGTTGGTGTTTCGTCGTGAGCGAAAGACGAAGAGAGAGAGAGAGAGAGAGAGAGAGAGAGAGAGAGAGAGAGAGAGAGAGTGTGCGTGTATGTGTGAGGGGTGGGAGAGACAGATAGAGCGACAGAGGGTAAAGAGGGAGACGAAGAAGGGAGGCGTGAGAGGGAGAGACAGGGGAAGAAAAAGAGAGAGAGAGAGAGAAGGAGAACGGAGAGACGGTGACCCTCTGTCTCTATATACTGTGCACGGGATTTTTTCTTCCCGTCGTCGATGACCTCAACGTCACGCACAGCGAACGAGAACGAACGAACGAACTCCCGATCAATCTAATAACGACTCCGGTAACGCGAGACGTCGGCCTCGTCTTCGTCGTCGTTGTCGTCATCATCGTCGTCATCGCCTCCGCCGCCGTCGTTGTTGTTGTGTGCAGGGCGTACGCGAGATCCCACGTCTCATGTGTAATCGCGTGAATTCCGTACGTACGTCTCCTTTGTTCGCTGCATCTCTCACTGCTTACTCTTCCTCTTTCTCTCTCTCTCCCCCCTCTCTCCCTCTTTTTCATACATATATTCTCTCTCTCTCTCTCTCTCTCTCTCTCTCTCTCTCTCTCTCTCTCTCTCTCTCTCTCTCTCTCTGCTCCGCTCCACTCCGTTCCGATCTGACAGCTCCTGTCAAAACGGAACTCGCAGTTGCGTCGCCCGTCATCGCCCTCTCTCGTCTCTCGAGGTCTGTTCGTTATCACTCTTTTCGCACTAGGTCTCTCCTCCTTTTTCTCCTTCTCAGAGCAGCGGACGCACGTAGATACATCTGTTTCACTTTAAACGCGGAAGGTGAACAGCTGAGACAAACAGACCTCTCAAGTTTCCGTTTGACGAATCAATCGCTCGCTTTCTCGCTCTCTCACTCTCTCTCTCGTTCGCTCGCTCGCTCGCTCGCTCGTTCGTCCGTCCGTCTATCCGACCATCTATCCATCCATCCATCTTCTACGTCGCGAAGAGCAACATCGCTCGTGCTTACGTTTACGTTCGCATAGGTCGCCCCCACGACAGAGCAACAGTTCGCGCAGAATGTTTGGATGATCACACGATCCTCGCAATCGGCCGTCGTCGCGCGAAGGAGATCAAGACGCGCTGCCGCTCGATCGCAACGCGATTAATTATTTCGCAACGGGGGTAATTCGGCCGGGAGTGCGTTTTCTTTTTTCTCCGCGATGTGTCTCGCCGACGTGAATAATCGACTCGATAAGCTCGCGCCTCGCGCACACATATGGAGGAAAACTGGACCGTGTCCTACTCTGTTTCAGATAAAGAATAAAGGTAGCAGCGTGTAAGATAAAAAGTCGCAAGCACTGTCAATTACTTAATACCAAGAAGGTGACGACTTTGCATGTGAGTAGAAGTCAAATGTGGATATGTGTGATAATGATGATGAAGCACACTGTAAACTGTGAGAGATCCACCACGGGATCTCTTGATGTTCAGTTTGTCAGAGAGGGGACAAGAATGTTGAGAAATAACAGTGATCACATTTACACGTCAACACAAAACCGGTTTGGCAACACTTATGGTGTTTATGTTTATGTGAATGGTGTAAAACTGATTTGATGCATCACAACAAGAATTCTTATTCTGAAACTGTCTGTGTTGCATATCGTGTAAACAATAATGTTGTATACTATAATGTATGTAGCATAAGTAGTTGCAACATAAAGAACTGTCAAATTGACTTTATGTTGGTTATGGGAACGCAAACTATAATATCTGCAAGTGTTTGCAAATTTAAACTTAGTTTGCAAATTGATTTTAAGTTAACATGTAAACGTGGTTACAGCGATCAAACAGCATTTCTTTCTGTCTTCCAAACTGAGGATCCCTTCTGATCTCAATCTCATTGCTCACAATGAGACGAATAATCCCTTTTTCTTTGCAGACTTTAACACTTAGGTAAATATTCGTGATTTGCTTGTCTTGTGACATTCACAAGATCAGCAACCAGGATGTCAGTATTGAATCAAAGTGGCGATGATGCGGTAGAGTGTCCGTTGTGTATGGAACCGCTGGAGGTGGACGATCTAAATTTCTTCCCTTGCACCTGCGGGTATCAGATATGCCGTTTTTGTTGGCACAGAATTCGTACTGACGAGAACGGTCTGTGCCCCGCGTGTCGGAAGGCCTATTCTGAAAATCCGGCTGATTTTAAACCCCTTACCAAGGAAGAATTGTCAAGGTATTTATGCAAATGAACCGACCCTGTTGAATTCCTCGCTCGAGTCGCGTTATGTCCAACGAATGATTCATTATTGAGAAAACTAATAACGTTGCTTCTTTCCAGGATAAAGGCTGAGAAAAGACTAAAAGATCAACAACGGAAGCAGAAAGTTATGGAAAATCGGAAACATCTAGCAAATGTGAGAGTAGTACAAAAGAATTTAGTGTTTGTAGTAGGATTACCGTTGCGACTGGCAGATCCGGATGTGAGTATATTCTCAGTACTGTACAATTCCTCTGTAATCGATTGACGTCCCGCGAAGAGACATCTCCGCAAACCGCGAAACATCATTGCACGAAAGAAAGAAAAGAAACTACCAAATGAAAAGGGAGAAACGTGATCACGATACATGTTACTTCGCATGCTTTAGGTTTTAAAGAGACACGATTATTTTGGAAAATTTGGGAAGATACACAAAGTCGTAATTAACCAGAGTACTTCCTACGCAGGGTCTCAAGGCCCCAGTGCTTCGGCTTATGTTACTTACCAAGTGAGTTACTTCGCGTTTTTTTCTTCCTCTGTCCAAGTGCACAAAAATGCACATTCTCTGTTCCTCTTTCTCATTGACACATGCGAAAAGGAAAGAGATAAGAGGGGCGATGAGATCTTTAATATGCTCGAATGTATTGTTAGCGTCAAGAGGATGCGCTACGTGCTATAGAGGCTGTGAATAACATTATTATGGACGGACGGACAATAAAAACATCATTGGGAACGACAAAGTACTGTTCGCACTTTATGCGTAACCAAGCTTGTCCGAAGCCGGATTGCATGTACCTGCACGATCTTGGGGACCAGGAGGCATCGTTTACGAAGGAGGAGATGCATATGGGGAAACATCAGGAATACGAGCGCAAGCTTGTGCAATCGTTACATGCACACGCATCTTCGGTGCAACGGTAGGAATCCCTGACGAGTCTACTTACAATACAATAATCTCCCCTGAATGATCTGCCCCGTGGGCTGAATTAACGCGTAGATAACGTAGTTTTTCAAATCCTGTGGTCAGGAAACCGACACCATCACCACCTGTAACTGGCAGTATTGTTAGGGAAAGTGGAACCATAAACTCACAGACTAAAGAGGCATGGCCATCGTTGCAACCAGGACAGACGAACAGTAAGTTCCCTGAGCTGGACTTCTAATAGTAAAATAGACTAAACTAGGCTTGCTTGATTTAGTTTCCAGGTAGGTACTGTGTCCATCGTGAATTTATTTTCAACGTTTCTTGAACATTCCAAGTTCACTTCTTCAGGAAGAGGAGCAACCTGAAACTCAACTTTACTTCTTTAGAGGAAGGAACAATCTGAAGAAATGAGCTGGAATGTCCACAGAGGAAACGAAATCAAGCATATCTCTAAACCATGAAAGCCTAAAATATTATAGACTAGACTTCTAATATAATAATAATAATAATAATAATAATAAAGCTCTGTTTCTTGCGATGAGGAACTCGAATGCTCACATATTAATATCCTGTTTTCAGGCACACAAACCAGTTGTAAGGAAGTATCACCACCTGTGCAAACAGCCACACAACACAGCAACAACGTAGGGAACGCAAGTGGTGGCACATTAGTTCAGCAGGGTCACATATCCTCCTCTGGGGTTGTGACAGCGCAACATCAACAAAACAACAATAATAAGGGTGAAAGTGGTGTTGTCGGTGTACGACGGGGTAAAAGTAATAGCGAGAGCAAGGCACAGGCAGCTCGGAACAAACACAAAAATTGTCAGAACAAGGAGAAGCATGGTGGTACTCGTACGACATTGCGATCGGAATCGAGCTCGGCCAACGCAACGCAAAATAATAGTTCGCAGTCGCAAATTAACGGGCAAAAGGACATAAGAAACTTTTCCGCCGATACGAACAGTGAAATGTTGCAAAAATTGGGTAACAAGTGTAAATTGGAGCACCAACAGCAGCAACAGCAATCACAGCAACAACAGCAACAACAACAAACTAGCAAAACATCAAAATTAGTTCAGCAGTCACAGTCGCACGAAGTTAAAGTAAACGGTGTGTTACAAAACGGGGAGCGTCGGCATTCAGATAGTGAAACGGATCAGCAGCGTGAAGGTAGCACGCCGGCTAGCACGATCTCGAGCACGGAAGACTCGAACCTAAATCACCAAGCCGAACACTTGGCTGAATCGAGCGAGGAAAACAATGGCGCTGTTCTTTTGGGTGAGTTGTTTATAATCGTGCTTATTTCTATATGTTCCTATTTCCTGCGATAAGGATGATCGCGTGATCGTTCTTGACGAAAGTCCCTTCACGCGAGGGACCTTTAGACGAGACAAGATCAGACATGACCGATATAAGATATGTGATAGACGCAATTCGGCTGCTAGGGTTTGTGATTAAGGAGCTTATATTAACTTGACCATGTACACAATCACTTAAACGCATCCTGAAATATGTTAACAACATCAAAGAATTATCTTTGTTGAATAGTTCGTACAAATAAACGCAGTAAAAATAATTGTAGTTGTATTGAACAGTACATTCGCTGAGTAACGCATGTCCAACCCTATTCAGGACTATGCATCATTACATATATTATGTTTATACTTTTCATTATCGTTTTTATCTCAATGGTTTATATTCTGCAGTCACTTTCCTCTTCTCTTTTTTTCCTATTTTTCTTTCGTTCGAGGTATTCTAAGAAATTTGTATGTCAATTTAAAGCGAACGATAAATCTGTTAAGATAAAGATGGTGTAAACGGCATTTACAAATTTTGTGCTCTTTAGTCGAAATTAATTGTTATCCGTACTAATTTATTTGGAGTTAAATTAAATTGGATAAAAAATTAGATGAATTAAATTTCTCAACTAATCAAATTTGATAGGTTGAATTTAATTGCTTAATTTAATTAATTTAATCGATTAGAAATTATTGAAAATCTGAGCAGAGATCGTGTTCATCATACTCTAATGTATTTGACAACTGAAAAATTGAACAATTGTGATACAGTAAAGTGTTGATCACAGTGCTTGTATAACAAGTTATGAGTAACATAAAGAAAGTGTGTCTACTTTTTGCGTTGAATATATATGTCGTACAGTTTGAAGGTAACAAGATAAAATAATGAACAAAAATCCAAACGATGTACAGACTACGCCGATGAGCCAAAGTGTTTTATTATTATATTTCGATACTGTAGACATAGAGCGATTGATTGATATAACGATATATACATATATATGCCAAAATAAAGAGAATACTTGAAAATAAAACAGTAATAGCCGTTTTTTGTGTTTTTGTATATACACTTAACTTTACTCCTTTTTATACAGATTACGATGAAGCAAGTGCTGGCATGGATACACGTATGAATTGCTCAATAACTTTAATCGGAATACACATTACGTTTTTCGAAATTATTTGTGCGCTTGTGCTATTTTATGCTTGATGCTTTCAACCGGACATTTCTGTCAAAGTATATATACATATATGTATATAGATTACGTAGATTATTCAGTTTATATAATTACAACGTATGAAAATACGTTATATTTTCTTGTCGAAAGAAGTAGCTCAAATAACTGTTTATTCTGGCATTATAAGAGTAATAGAGACAACAACTCTGCCACGTCGTGTAGTGTAGAGATTTTTGCGTATCGTCTTTAGGTTCGTCTCCAGCTAGCACAAATTCATCGCAAGGTGCCAATCAACCACCACCACCGGGACTACATAATGGATCTCAAATGCAACACAACCACCGATCGATCTTTCAGGCGGACAATAACAGTTTCTTCAGTTCGAATAGCTTTCAGAAAATCTCTACTACCACCTCAATGCCACCCAACTCCCTCTCAGGCATGTACAAGTTCTTCTACATCTTTTTTCTGTTGCACCTCGCTATATTAATTCTTTTTGGTCACGTTGTCAACTGTATTTATGTTATTCACTTTCAACGAGAGGATCGCCAACAGATTGGTCGTTCAGAACTTTTGTAGGATCAGTTTAGTGATAAAGAGAGAAAGAGAGAGAGGGGGGGGGGGGAGGAGGAGAGAGAAAGAGAGAGGAGCTCTTTCGTTTTGCGTTTCGACGCTTGTAAATTTCATGATCGAATGCAATGAGCGGAAAAATGATAAATTGTAATTCGATATATAGCGAACACGAATCTGGATTGGACGAGCACGGGAGTAGCTGCGATACCAGACTCATTGCCGTCGGTCCATTCTAGCGAAGATTGGCAGGCGGCTTTCGGTTTCCAGACCGAATCTTCCCGAGCCAACCATATTATACCGAAATCCAGCCCCTCCGATTCGCCCAGAGTAACATTCAATTCTGAAGGTTTTGTAGATGAGGAAGTATACATAAATGCAGCACCGTACACCACCACGCTCACAGAATCGTCTGGTACCTTCACTAATTTACTCGCAAATTCACCCGCGTCTAAGTTCATGGCGGACTTTCAGCAAAATTCCTTGCAACAAAGGCTTACTATGCAGGTGAGCGGATAACGATATTATTGAATTGCAGGCGCGCGAAACGCATTTAAGGAGATCTGGCAGTTTACCTCGTGTTTCTATATAGGTTGTGCAGAATTGCAAATACTATTATAGAAATAGAAATGTCAATGAATCGAGGAGTGCCTCATGTTGCCCCATCAACTATCAAAAACAAAAAGAAATTTGTAAATAAAAAATTTTGTTTTAATTTTTATATAATATTTTTTCTCCTCAATTTATCATTTGTATCTTTTCTCTGTGAGAACATTTGCAATTCTGAACCAGGTAGAAAGAAATAATATAAACTATTAAAGCTACAATATAACTGCGTTTCAATATTTATTATCAGCATTGGAAATGTGTAGTACACGTAACATAAACTGCAAATTCTCAGTACTTAGCAATGAATATCGAAATGCGTACCTATGTCGATATCTAGTATCATTCTCTTAACGCGAATCAGAGTGAGAAGCAATTTTATGCGTTCATTCTTTCACCGGAAACTCGGTGTCTTTCTACTTTTCTCATATTTCTAATATTTTATATATGACGTTCCTAAGGCACAACAAAATCAAGAAAATTGCGAATACATAAAGCAAAATGGACATGCCACGTTGGAGGAAGTTCGGAATCACCGTGACGCAGGATCAGACGTGAAGGCTGACGACGATCTAGGCTTCGATCCGTTCCACGAGACGCAAAAGGCATTAGCCGAGCTTATGGAGAACGAGATGCAAATACAGCAGCAGAGGATATACCAGCAGCAGCAGCAACAACAGCAGCAACAACAGAGAGAACGGGAAGAGCAAAATAGGGTGCAACACCAACAGACCTTTGCGAATCTTAATCAGCAACACTTTCCACAAGTAATTATCCTGTTCTTTGAAAATCTTCAGAAGTTCAACATAACAAAAAGAACAGTTATAAATTAAGAATTGAAGAAAAGAAATTAGAATATGTGAAAATGAATATAACACAGATAAAAAGAAAGGGGGGAGGGAGAATATATACTGCGTTCAAGTAAATGTTAAACAAATATATGTTAACCAAATAAGTGTAGTTTCAAGTATTTCATTGGTATATATTTGCAAATTTATCATAAATTCAATGTAAACATTAAATTTATTTAAAACGTATTTTGAATCCAAATAAATTTAATACTTGAATCAAGAATATTGCATTAAAACAAGGATATTAAATTGATACATTCAGTTTGCTTTCTATAGAGGAAACATCAGTTTTATATTTTAATATTCTTGAAAAGAAAATTATTTCTTCTTTCAAGTACATGGTGATAAACTTTTTTAAAATTCTTGAAAAGTATATTTAGAAACTAAAAAAAAACTTCCAAAAAAAAAATATTGCTGAAAATAGCCATTACTTAAAAGAAGAAAAATAAATTGAGTAAACGCTTTTTTAGCATTAAAATATTTTTTTCTGTGTAATAACTTATACATAGCAAATATCATACATAGACTGAATTTATTTGGATCGGAATAATTCATAATTTAGCGTTTGATTATGTCTTATAGAAGAAAAGCACGTGGAACAAGACTCACGATGACGCAATACTATTTCAGGTTGCGCACATAGCACACTTGCAAGCGCAACAAGCCCAGCACTTGCAAAATCTACAGGTGCTTCAGTCGCATTCCCTCCTGTCTCGTCTTCCACAAAATCTGTTACAAAGCGGCGGTGCACAGAGTCCTGCTCAGGGCACAGTAACGGCCGCCAGTCTTGGACAACGGAGCCGCCTTCCACCACCGGGTTTTCCTGGATCTACGCCAAATCACATGAACTCATTCGGTCTCGGTATACCACGACCAGCCCCAACGAACAGTACTCTCTCGGGTTAGTGTTCCTCCGATGTTTTCTGAGTGCCAAAGATCGCAATTTGCAATGTGTCAAATTCTCCCACATGCAAAGTTAGGAAAGCTAGTTTTGAAGAGTAACGCATTTCTAACCAAGGATGACCAAGGATGAAAAAGAAAAAAATTGATTGTTCTTCTTTGCTTGTAATCATAAATCGTAATCGTAAATTAAAGAGTCTAAATTTCTTTAATTTCACACGTTATTACTACCAGTTACCTATTGAGAAAAGCAATTCTTATTTATTGAAAAAAGTAATTCGTTATTGTTATCACTCAAAAAGTAACGAGTCATTAGAATCTTGTTACTTTCTTGACTAGATTTTGAAAGTCTTTTTTAGCATCGTTTTTTTAACATTTGTTTCCGTGGATCCTACATTTTAGATACACATATTTTATATATGCAAAATTATGATAAAACGGGATATTATATTTGCTTTTAACCAAAAAATGATATTACAAGTAACGCATTACTTCTCTCTCGACTCTGTCTGTACGTATACGATGTCATACTTCTATATAACAGTTCCAAGATGAAGATGCATCTATCCGTGGATTTTTCGATGAGTTAGCAAAGCTCATGATTAAGCAAACATCGTTCGCTTCAATGGCTAAGTAAAGCTTAAATGCGTTCTCAAAAGGGTCCGTCTCGATTTAGTACGCGGAACAAAGGAAGCTTCTGACGATGTGCCTTTATTCGCGAAAACTCTCTTTTCTGTTAGCACAAATTTCAAGATTCCTTTCTATTTTTGCTTACTTGTGACATATTTATTTACTTTTGATATCTAATTGTGATTTACTTATGACACATTTGCCTACTAGTGATTCATTGGTCTAGTATTATGTTTACAGGAACACAGCCACCACAGCAGAATGCGTATCTTCCCAACGGAGTTGGGAGTCCTCTCATCAATACGCAAAGTAATAATTCCTTTTATTTCTCTTTCATTCTCATCCACATTCATCTCTCTGCAATGGATGTTCGTAGCCTAACACTCAATTCAATTTTCAGCTATTGGCAAATGCGCGGGTGATACGGTGTACACTCTGAAGGAATGGTGTGACATCAATAATCAGCAGCAGCAACAACAATTCCACCACCAGACGCTACATCAGAAAGGAGGATGGAACAATTTCGGACCTGTCACTGACTGGACTTCGATTGATCCAGCCATAGTTAGTTCGTCTAGACCTCTTCCATTCCAGACCACTAGCACATGGCAGTTTTCTCATATTCATCCTTCTCACACCGTAGCTCACAATGCGCAACAGGTACTCGGAGCTCGTGCTCTATCCCGCGAAAAATAATCGACGATACGAATCCATTATCTGCCATCGTATCAAGTTATAACGCGAAAAATTCGTTACAAAATTCAATACAAAATTATCCTATTCGAGGTGGCTCATCGTCAAGGCTTCGACATTATCGTCTAAAATAAATTTTCTTGATTTTTTTTCTTTGAGAGAAGAAGAGAACTTAAGCACATTGACTGTCACACTGATTTCACCGATTATTTCAATACTCGGTGCAAGTTTGAATCACTAAATATGCAATAAATAAATGCGATTTGCAATGTATATATTCGTTAAATCTTTTTACTAGCGCCCTATCGGTTGCACTTGTAATCTCATATGCAGTTGTTTACATTTTATATGTGAATTGATGAGATGATGTGAGACAATATTGTAGCTTCGGTCACTGGTGGTCACCATGGTGGTCAATATGCTAAAGATTCTTAGATTCTTTCAAGTTCTTCAAAGATTCCTTCTTTAACACATTGACTGCCAAATCCGAGTTATCTTATAGCTGGCGTACGAAAGGAATTCTCCGTTCCATGCGTCTATGTGTTAACTGGTGTAGACGTTATTCTCTTTCTTATGAGTTGTGAATAATAATAAGTTAATTAGCATATCAAAGAGCGATAATTACATAACAATTTGAAAATGCCAGTAGTAAAGTAAAGTTAAATAGAAGTAAAGTTTCTTAATGTCACTGTGACGATCAACGTGTTAAAGAACTTGAAGCAATAACTTTATTTTAAACAGACTAAAAACAGATTCGTTAAACAAATATTTAAAAAAAATTAAAGCACACATAGTTTTTATATAACTATTTAACAATACTTTACATTAAAAACTTTTACATAATTTTTATATGGCATATCTTTTTTTAAATTTCTGTAATCTCTCGCCATGGAACTCGTAATTGAACATTTTGGACATATGTTTTTTTCGTTTCGGGCGTCATCAATCAAGAATTCCACAACGAGGGACCAGAAAGGACTTAATATTTTAACAAATTAAAAATATTTCTTTCGCAACGATTTGACGACAGTTGTCTATAACTCGAATTTGCTACTCATTGTTGCATAACGCAGCGAATATCAACCGTACGCCAGCCGTAAACGCAACATTGACACTTCCTCTCCCACAGGAACAGAACGCACCTGCTCAGCATTGGGCGATGCAACCACCTCCTGGCTTTGCTGCACCCACGACCACGGGGCAACTGAGTACTCCGCAACCGAGCACAACCGCACAGCCGCACACTAAACTCATCCCCACGGGATCGGAAATCGAGAGTAAGTTGGTCGCGATAAAGCTCCGTGCAAACTGAAAATACCATTACAATGCTGCCGCGGTATCGAAATATATAGGGCGTCTATGATATTGCAGACCTATAAGTCTTATGCGAGGTGAACGAGTGGCGTCATAAAAGTGTTTCTCCGGACTTGGCAAGATCAAATATCCAGCTAATAAAAGAAAACAAAAATGAAAGAGAAAAAGAAAGAACGAAAGATACAAAACGTAAAAGCGACAGTCGATAATGTACGTTTTCCTTTAACACATCTGTGTCTCACGTTTTACTCTTAATTCATTTATTTGAGTTCATTCAACTCTGAAACGAAAAAAATGTCAGAGTACAAGTTCGCGCATATATATGAAATGTAACGAAAAATATTTATGTGTCAATACACATTTCTCATAACATATTTATCTGAATTGTAGCAAAATTTATTCGTTTGATTTCAAAATCTGCATTCTATGTTGTGACGAGAAGCGCAGTTCGTATAGGCTGCGAGAAATGCATCAAAGAAATTAAATCGATTGAATCGATAAGAGATTATTTTTCGATGAAAAGATTATCACGATGTTTAAAACTATATTTCCTGCGAACATTTATTATCGTTTAATATCGATTCTGTTTTCGTTATAACATTTAAATGGAAAAATGTCTTACGTTTGTGAAAATATGAGATTTAAAGATTCATGGAAAGAGAGGGAGAGAGAGAAAGAGAGACAAAGAGGCAGAGAAATAAATTCTCAATGAAAGCGACCATAATAAAACTTCAGTATGTATTAAATTGTTTATTATTTAAAGCGATGCAGGACACGTATATTTTAAACTCCGAAAAAAAAGAAGCTTTATTCTGACTAACTCAAAAAAGTTTTGTCATCAAAAGAAGATCCTAACCAATAATACGATACGCCATGCGTTACATTATATATTATTCTTCTGTTTTACAATAATGCCTCCGTTTAGTGCAATCGCAACGTAACCGAGAAATATAAGTGACATTTTATGTGTTTTATGTGATAATTTTAAATAAGATTTTCTTTTATCGTTATTTTTAATACATCAATCAATGTACTGCGATGAAGAAAAAAAAAGAAACGGCATGTTTTACCAGTTTTATCAGCGCACATAATTTTTCTTCGGAGAAATGTCATGTCGTCCTATCGTATTGCGACACCCTATGACTAATTTTATGCTGTCCAAATGACTAAACATTAGCTTAAGAATTCGTTTATTCGGTTTCGATAATTGTTTCGTTGAGGATACTGAATTCTATGTCGTCAATCATGAATGGATCGGACGCTGATTACGAGTCAGTTTTTAAAAAACTTCTATATTCATACATTACGAGAGAATAGTGATATCTCTCCGATCTCTCTCGACAAGGCTATCAATGTTGTACGTCTAAGGAAAACTGCAGATGGCTGTCCGACGTATTAACACAGCCTCACACACATACAAAAGCGTATTCACGCGCGTGCCACATATATACACACACACACACACACACACACACGCACATTAATACGTGACAATGTATTTTATTTACGCGAACTGATACGAAAGAAAAACAAAATAACAGACTGGGAATATTAACACGATGTGTGTACGATAAAATGCGAGAAACGTCTGAGCGATGTACCACGATGTACATACCACGGCGCGTTGTGTCGAACGGAGTTATTCCCGTGGCGGATCGTGTCTGCTGTTTTACGAACGGAATAACAAAAGAACACGTCACATATATAAAAGAGTAAATAATAAAACTATAATTATAAAATTTAATTCTCTCAATAAGGTAATCGAGAAATACACGATAATGCGCAAAAAATCTCTGTGTGATAATCGTGTTCTTGTTACTTCTTCTCGCATTCTCTTTTTTTCAATTCCTCCTCCCTCCACATCCCCTGTCTCGACTTTCAGCCCATTTCCTAATAACGCTGATTAATTAATATTCGCACCAGAAGAAATCCAGGAGAAATTGTCCCGCTTGTAAATTTGGATTCTTTCTCGGGGCAATGCATATTTACCGATATTTATACTATGTGTATTCGGGATATTCGAATTTCGATATTATAATTTCGGGAGATTGTTTCCCACTTTCCAAATCTCGAGATTTTGATTTTTCGGAATAATGCATATCCATCGAGAAAACGCTGTCACATGTGTGTGTAACGTTAGTAGCATCACGTAGAATTGACGATTTTGAATGAAAATAAGCCCGAGGTGAGATATCGGTGCGTCACACACGTTTTATCACTGACAACGAACATATCAACATAAGCAACGTCTGACTTTTGTCCTCTTCTCATTCTCGTAAGTAATGTTTATACTACGGCAATATCTGTTGAAGCGTGAGATGCGAGATACGCGCGCTACTTACGCATATGCATAATATTTCACGCGTGCTGTACTCCATTCAATGTCATTGATTTCCTTTCAGAGTTTATTCTCTTTCACCGATAATCTCTCAAGGACTTTGAGAAAAACTGACAGTGCAATTTGGTCAAATCGCATGTGGTAAATCTTGGTTTTTCCAAAAATGTGGTGATAATTTACATAATGTTGTGTGAATGTGCAATAATTTATATAACTGCACGCGTACAATAGCACAGACCTGGAATTAGTCAAGAAGAATATACAGCCGTGGTGCGCGGTGATTAAAATGCAAAACTGATAAATAAGTGACGTAGTTGGCGAATAAATGAGTCATATTATTATCATTTGATATATTGATATCAATCAATTGATATCATATTATTATCATTTGATATATGAGTCAAAATATTATTATTTGATATATTGATAAAATAACTGACAAAGGATTAACAGTTTATCGTTACAGATTATTAATTAAGAAGCTCACTTACTCGTAGGACTAATGTTTCGGAACTTTTTTGTTACAGCTATTTTTATCGCGCTAGTGTTGGCAGCTAAAGCTGTTGTATGTACAATTAAGTTAGCACGTAACACAAATCACGTAGCATAATTCTTATATTCGTTTATAGCGAATATCATACTTTACATAATGGATCAGTCAATTGTGTCGAGCTTGAGATGAGAAGGCACGATGTAAAAATATCAAGTTATAAGTAAACCAAAAGTAATAAATATAAATAATATAATACATAAATACATAAATATAAATAAAAATAAGAAATATAAATATATAAAGTAAATAATAAACAAGTAATAAATAAAAGTAACAAATAAATAACCACCAATCGAAAGAGTAGGAAAAGTGTATAAATAGTGTAACTCAAAACGCGACACTCGTACCTCTGTGGTACGAATATCAATGCAGTGAAATCAGGCGAGAGTCTGAAAAGAGAGGTTGAATACACGCAATTCGCTATCTATTATAAATTTAATAACACATTTCAAATATTAATAAATTATTATACGTATGTACATGTATAATTTCTTTTAGTACAAAGAAAAAACTCGATTGACCAAAAGCTCATAGTAAAGGACCGTTCAGGTGATCTGATCTGTGGATTTCAAGCAATAACCTATTTAACGATCAAAACGCACAGTCAAATAAAAAGCAAGTACTTATGTGATTAAACTTTTGATGTGACATTTTTGGGTTCAGTTAGGAAATTCGTCTTATTAAGTACCTAGAGCTAACATTGAAATAGTGATTCCTGAGCTTTCGCAAGGTTTAGGTTAGGTTTATATATATATATATAATGCGTTTCCTCGTACATACATATTTTCGGAATTTTTGCTGAATGAATGAACTGTGTGCTCGCGGAATTATAAACATAGATTACGAAAAAAAGAGAGGTTTTCAATTTTATTCATAAATATCTCATTACTTTTTGTTGAAATATGTCTTGTTTATTGTGTTTAAAAGATTCTTTTTTCAGATAAATATGGTAGAAGAGATTCAGAAGAAACTTCAAAGTGAAGTTGACAAATTAAGGCAAGTCCAAAAAGGTTAGGAATTACTTATTTTAAAAATTGTTATAAATTATTTCGATTTAATCTTGCAATTTGTGATGTATTAATTGTATTTTCAGACTACAGTAAAGCAGTAAATAAAAGGCAACAGTTAGATGGGCAATTAAATGAAAACATTGCAGTCAAGAAAGAATTAGATCTTTTGAAACAAGACAATGATGTCTTCAAGTTAATTGGACCAGTTCTTGTAAAACAAGACCTGGAAGAAGCTAAGCAGAACGTTACCAAACGTATGGACTATATTACAGCTGAATTGTAAGTTCATCCGTTATAAATGAAATGAAGAATTCCATACTTAAATGTGTCGATTTTAGGAAACGCATGGAGGATTTGATTGCTACCTTAGATAAGAAAATGGATACTCACAGAGAGGCACTTGAGAAAATACAACAAACGTTCCAGCAAGCTCAAATCAAAGCATTATCTCAACAGAAAGCATAATATCACAAATAACAGTTTTGCTAAGTTATGCTGCATGTACCAAATATTCAATGATAAACAATTGAATAATAAGAACCCATATTATATGAGCAATGCATACTCCTAATTTTATTTACTTATATTGTACAACATTTATTGAGTTATCTAGCTATATGTCATAGTTACTTGAGCACAATCTACATATATTAAAAATTATATAGCTTCTCTATAAAATGTTTTCTTTTAAATTCATGTAACAATAAATGTATGAGTGTCTATTTTATGATAAATACCTCTTAGTAATTATTAAATTTCCTGTTTGTAAAATTTATAAATACTTAGTAGTTATAATTATTATTTCAACCTTGGCCTATATTAATAGTAATTAATTGAAACTTTGCTCATATGAACTATTTAAGTTTAGAATTAAATGCTAGTTTCTGCATTTAATGTATATGTGTAATGTGCATTTACACATATCACAAATTAAAATAAATGAAGTAAACGAAGGAGTCAAGTGCAAAAGCTCAAACAATATGATGGACCTTAGGTCTGTTATTTTTCGAAGAGCCTCTGAACTAATATATTAGGAGGTTTTCTGGTCTTATTTTGTCAATTTTTTTATCTTTATTTTTTAAAAATGTTTAAATTTACATCAATCAAAATATTTATATTAATAGATATCTATATTGGCCCATATTCTGAACCATTTTTTATCGATAAAAGTGCCTCTAAAAGAAAATTACGAGCCACGTAATTGACTGAGAAGCCTCATTTAAAGCATTTTTATCGATAAAAGAGGGTTCAAAATACGGACCATTGTCTTGTATGTTACATTTTAGCGAATATTCATTTCAGACATTTTCGAGCCGTTTTCGGTAACTTCGGTTGATCACAGTCTGTCAAATAACCTAAAAATATAGTAGACTCGAAACATGTTGATTGGGAACGGGGCAAAAATCTGAACGCTATGATTGGTTATAAGCAATAGATACAGAATTCAAACTCGTCGGAAATTTTGTCGCTGTTGTCTGTTCCGTGTTCCATTCTGCATTGGCATATGCATTCCCTAGTGTCGGAATTTTCTGTTTCTATTGATATGCTATCGCTATCGTTATTGCTTAAGACAGCGGCACACGGTGCTTGTTCTCGTGCTGGATTGCTTGCTGGATGAAAATATTGCGTTGTGATTGGTACATTTCCGAAGATGGATGGAAATGCACCAATCAGAATGCAGTATTTTCATCCAGCAAGCAATCCAGCACGAAAACAAGCACTGTGTGCCGCTGGCTTTAACGCTATCGCTATCGCCTAGCATTGGCCGCGTTCAGTAGAACAAAGTGATCAGAGAGCGCTTAGTGATTATTGTCTGTGATTGGAGCATTCGTTTAGATTCTTCGTAGACCCAGAAATATTTACCAATCAAGAGCGAGATTCAGTGGAAAATCTAGTAATGTTGTCCAACTGTTGAGTTTACTGAATGCAGCCAATGGTTGCGTTTAGAAAACAAAGCGTTCACTGAGCGCCTAGTAACTATTGGTCCTTGCTGTTAGATCCTTACATTCAGACCAATAACGTTGACGAATTACTCAACCGTTGTGTAACCGTTGTGTTTTCTGAACGCAGCCATTGTATTTTGGGCTTTAGCCTCGCTCACGTCGCTGAGCGAGAACGAAAGCGAGAAAGAGGGAAAGATTGGCCGCGTTCAGTAGAACAAAGTGATCAGAGAGCGCTTAGTGATTATTGTCTGTGATTGGAGCATTCTTTTAGATTCTTCATAGACCCAGAAATATTTACCAATCAGGAGCGAGATTCAGTGGAAAATCTAGTAATGTTGTCCAACTATTGAGTCTGCTGAACGCGGCCATATTCTCGCCCGCGTCGCTGAGCGAACACGAGAGCGAGAAGGAGGGAATGATATCTCTCTATCGCTCAGCGCGTCGACGATTGCCGAGCGCGTGGTCCACACGGACTACGTTTACACAGCTTCTAACTTCGGCTTAGTAACTACCGTAGTTAGTGCAGCCTCGAATCCGATTAGAGTATATTTTTAGATCTAAAAGAATATACCAATCGAATCAAAGAATTCTAATCCGGATTAACCTTGCCGTGTAAACGTAGTCAATGGCTGCGTTCAGAAAACAATTGCGCCCGATCATTCGTACATAAGGTTTGTCGTGAATTAGAAGCATCAGCTGGCGATGTAGAAACTGTTGCAAAACGCAAAAAACATAAGGAACGTTGAGCGGGAGACCAATAAACATCCTCATAATAATATTTCATCACTGAAGGATGCTATAACAACACCAATGATCAAAATGAACAAAGAGCATTTGATTCGGGCATGCAATCGTTTCCGACCCTGGATTAAGTCCGTTATTGCCGCTAATGAGGATTTTATTGAGTAATTGTATAGTCTAGGAGTCAATTAACATCGAGTAAAAATTTCATGGAATTATAATAAATTTTGCAAAAAATATGAACAAATTAGTTTTAATGTCAATTTGTCCTCAAATACCGTACGCACCCTGTGTACACCCCCCCCGTACACACACAGAGGGGTGCAAGGGGGGCCTTCGGCTCCCCTCCCGCACCCTTGCCGTTCTCGTTTCACGCGGAAAGTTACAAACCCATCCGGAATCTTGCTTATCTGTCGCCTCCGTAACAGATTTCCTAACCTAAATTGTCATCAACTTTAATAATTTATATCTCGCTCCACAAGGCAGAGCGATGATTTTTTCAAATAGAAAAGTTGTTTCTCTTGCAAAAGCGCGTCGATTAAATATTTTTTCGTCGATATCGGAGGTGAGGAGGGTATTCTGTATAATTACCGAAATAAAATTTGATATATTAATCAAATATATTTTGTATATTCTAGAATTTGATATATATTTTAATTCATAATATATTATATTATATGCAGAATTTTGTACAAAAAATAAGTATATATATGTATTTTATGTGGAATTATTTGGGCAGTTTTCCTTCCTCGCATTTTTTAATAATACCTGAAAAGAATAATTGTATTGTTTTTTTCATATCTTGCTATTTATGAAAACATTCATAAATGAGAATATACTATAAAATACATTAGGGTCTTACGTTCGCAAATATTATTCAAAGCATTAACAGTTGGTGAATTTGGTATTTCTGTCAGAAAATTTTTACCCTCGTCACAACATCTAGCTAGCAATGGGTCTAACGGAATTGAACCTAAGAATTCCACATTCAATTCTTTTGACATCATTTGTGCACCACCAGTCGAAGCTGGGAATATTTCTGCAGTGTTCTGTGTAATGCATATATTTTATTAATTTTGCATTCACACACATACATGTGTTTATAGTATTATTCAATCTATATAGTATTATTTATATTATTCATATAGTATTATTTAAGCTATTGTTCTTACCTTACATTTAGGGCATACAAAGATACTCATATTCTCAACTACACCCAGGATTGGAATGTTTACTTTTCTGCAAAAGTCTATTTCTTTTCTGACATCTAAAAGAGCAATTTGTGGTGGTGTTGTTATAATTATAGCACCCGTAATACCAGCTCCTTTAAGATACGATGTAGCTGACAAGTGTTCATCAGATGTACCAGGTGGTGTATCCAATATAAGATAATCTAAACTACCCCAATCAACTTCTGTCAAAAATTGCCTGATCATACCTGTAAATATGCAAATGTATATATATATATAGAGTGTCTCAAAAGTAATGGACTACCCTAATAACTCTTCAGTATTGAAGTTTCAAAGAAAATGATCAAAAATGATTCAAAGAAATGATGAATAAAAGTTGTAGGGATTTAAGTGAGCTACCTTATGATGACCTTGACTTTGACCTTGACCTCTATTTTCAAGGTCATTTGAAAATCAACTTGCATTTTTTAAGCGGGAACTTTTATTTTTTATTACACTGTTTTTTTCTACTAGTTAATTTTAACAAGTTTTGTTTGAAACATTTTTTCATTTGTCTGATATTTTTTGAGATATTTGAGGAAAACTTAACTTTTTCAATATTTGACTTACGATATCTCGCTAACTATTTGTCGGGAGAAAAAGTGGTACTAGAGTTTCTTGCTTTATTTAGTCTCAAAAATATATTGTTACAATAGCGCCCTGACTTTTGTTAACTTATTGACTTTTGGAAATCCAAAATCATCAAATTAACAAAAATCAGGGCGCTATTGTAACAATATATTCTTGAGACTAAAGCAAAAAAGTCTAGTACCACTTTTTCTTTCGACAAATAGTTAGCGAGATATCGTAAGTTAAATATTGAAAAAGTTAAGTTTTCCTCAAATATCTCAAAAAATATTAGACAGATAAAGAAATGTTTTAAACAAAAGTATAAAGAAAAAGCCCTAATAATATAAATCTCACCATTTTTCTTTGGTCCTCTCCATATGACTGCATCATTTGGACTACCAAGTAGAAATCCAATCGACATCAGTGATAAGTTATCCTCAATATACTAAAAAATATAATTTAATGTCATAAGTAATAGAGTAATAAAGGTATGATGTAAGTTTTCTATTGATATATCTTGCTCTAACAAATATACTCACTACAGGTGACCATCCAGATCCACTCTGATGTACTTGTTCACCAAGTACGCCAAGTACTCGTGGTTGTGATGGTCCGCAAATATCGATATCCAATATCCCAACCTGTATAAGATATCAAAATAAGATTTGGAACTTGTATGAATTAAAAATATAAAATTAAAAATAATGCGTTATATTTCGTATATCAGTATAAGCTATATATCCGTTTGAAATACTAATGTGAACATCAAGTGAACATAATGAGAACATCAAGACACAACATTTTGATAATCAATAAAGGAGTGGTACAGGTTGATACGACATACATAGGTGATCAGTTAACTATAGATACACCCTGAGTCTGAGGTTATTTTCTGTAAACTGGCTGGCAGAATTCATCATGCTAACATGTACATTGAAAATCATATGGATGTCCTGGGAATGGGCAGAAGGGTAAGTCAGTATAATAATCTGTTATTAATTTTATGATATTTTAAAATGTTATATGTAACTATAAGAAACATATATATTAAACATAACTAAGAAAAATTAAATGCAAAAAAAAAAAGAATTGATTTTCTATACCTTTTTAAGACAAAATACATAGTAAATGATTTGTTTTTATGCTTTATATTTATGATTACTTATACAATCAATTAAACTTACATTTTTGTCGAGATTATTTGCTGCCAAACATCTAGATACTAATGATGTTACGGTAGTCTTGCCTACTCCTCCTTTGCCTGAAAGTACTAGGAGCTTATTTTGTACTAAGGAAAGTTTTTCTTTCACGAGTGCTATGCCAGGATCTGGTTGTCTAGTCGCTCCAGATGAACAAAGTGATTGGTTTGGGCAGCCAGCACATGCTGAAGCTTTGCCAGCACTTTCGCTTTGAGTTCCAGGACAATCTGAACAGATATTTCACAAATTTCTTAGAATTATAATATTGTATAAAGACAAATAAAAATAAATAATAAATTTTCATCATGTCATATAAATGTTTTAGATCATACAATAATTTGAAAAAATTATTTGTCTATATATATTATATTAATATTTTTCACTATTCATTTTAAATTATACTTAAATATATAATATTACAAGCAAAATAATCAAAAGTATAGTACAATGATGTAACTTAACCTAATTTTGAATTTTTTGACATTTGAAGTACAATAAGCAAGCAATAATGTAATATAAATGATATATTATTGATTTTATAATTTTAATAAATGTAAAACAGATTTTAAGATAATTCATTTATGTTTAAAACTATTTAAAATTAAATTGTCTATATTTACGGTCAGGAGCTTCGGTAGGTACATCTGCCATGTTGGATCATTAATTTTTCTGAAGATATACAAAAAGCATATATATATACATATATGTACATGGTTTTTGATAGTAGTTTAGTAGCTTTCTAAAAAAACTGGAGAATATAATTTTTAAAGAGTGAAAATAATTAATTTATTTCTTATAATTACATACATGCGTTTCCTTTACTAAACAGATAAAATAATAATCACAATAAACATTTATATCATTATCAATTAATTTCGATAATTTAATAATGTAATAACTTCATTAATAATATAATATGTATCATTTATATTAAACTTATATATTCAATTTGTTGTAAAAAGAGAGAAAAATAAAGTACAATAAATATTTTTGTATATTTTGATTTGTAGCAACTGCAACCATGGAGTACAGTGGGAGTTTCAACACCTTACATGGAACCAATAATTCCAATTCGTATAGGTGATTACACCCGTACACATAACTTATTGCCGTGGAGACCAAATGTAGGATTTGAAAATACGAAAGTTATTCCCTTGTAAGTATAGGGTTTTTTTTAAGTTTAAGTTCAAGCTCATTTATTTCTTCATTATCGTAATAAATTAAACGTAAAGCCGTATCATATTCTAAAATATTATATATAACTATAAGAAACATATATATTAAATTAAAAAAAAAGATTAAAGCAGAAGAAAGAGAATTGATTTTCTACAAGTAAATATAGTTATTCTCATACTCAATCCTTTTATAGATATATACAAATATTGATCTAACAAACTCTGCGTGTGTACGACATTATTCCGCGTGCACCCGTTTTATCTTTGGTAGTTTTTGCAGATACTGATTTTTCTCTTATGTTAAGTACACCTTTAACACGTCAAGATGTAAACATATTATTACTATATTATTATATACTATATTATTAATTACTATATTATTTTAGCAGGGCTACAAAGTCGAATTATGCGTTAGATGTAAACGGTAAGATGGCCACACGACCATTAAAATTTCCAAACCTAATAACGGGTTATCAACGTAATCCTATTCACGCATCACAAGCCGCCCTTTACACGAGATACACACCGCATGAGTGGTTTCAGAAGCAAGTGAAATATTACAATGAGGCAGACTCGCAAAGACATTATTCTGAAAGGATGCGAGGTGACGCTTTGAGAATTATCAGGTATAATATAGCTTTTTCGTGAATACTTTCTTTATATAAATAATATGGCTTTTTATATATAAAAAATATCTCTTAGAGATGCTGAAGAGAAGATACAACGTGGTCAGTATGATACTAGTAGAAGACTTGGTGAAAGAATTAGTGATGTTACTTTTTGGCGTAATGAAGTGTCATCGGAACTGGAGAGAATGCTTCATGAAATTGAGAGGCTTCAGGATTGTAAAAGTGTCTTGGAAAAGGCAATGCGAGATATTGAAGGACCTTTACATATTGCCGAGGAATGTCTTTACCACAGAGAGGCTAGAAAAGGTTTGTTAAATGTTACAAAATTATCTTTATCTAGTATATTTGTTTATGCGCAATATATTGTAGATTTAAAATAAAATCTATTTTATTATTATATATGTTTCTTTAGGGACAGAATTAGTGCATGACGACTCGGAAAAATGTTTGTTGCGAGAAGTGGAAAATCTGCGAACAAACCAGAAAAAACTGGAAACTTGTTTGGACAGATGTAAAGATCAGGTATGAATTTTATATCTCAACATCTTCTTTGTACAATCCACAATTAATCGGCACAAATTATGAAGATATGATATAATTGTATTTGCAGTTACGAAATTGCAGAGCCTCACAGAATCAATTAGAACTGGATTTAAAGAACAAGGAAAGCGCTTTAGGTATAGACATCGTTTGCCATCAGTTGCACAATCAGAGTCACGGATTGCAATATTACTCGGGAATTGAAAAATATGATCCATGGTATTTAATAATAAAGTGTTTTCGAATAATTCCTGTAGCATTAAGTATAATTTTTATAGTATTAAGTAATATTGCTGCTTGTTAGTGTCTCGGAGCAAGAAACCTGGGCAGATGCGGTGAATAAAATAGTCCAAAGGTCTCAAACGGAACGCAACAAGTCGTGTCAATTACGTACCACTGCCGAGAGTCTTATCAATAAAGTTTCTCAAGAAATGTGGAATACTTGGAGCAGCACTAACAATGCTTTAGCACATAGATCTTCCGAATTACTTGAGGCTAAGAGCAAGCTTCAACAACATTTACAAAAGGTAATGAGAAATAATGAATCTTTAGTTTATCTTCAGTTTAAATGTGTCTCGTTACACGTTACAGGTGCAACAAGAGATATACGATGTAGAAAAGAATTTGGAATTAATGCGTAAAGCTATTGCGGACAAAAGTCACGCAACTAAAGTCGCACACACGAGAATGGAAGCGAGACTACATCGGCCCGACATAGAACTGTGTCGTGATTATGCTTATGCAAAGTGCGTATTACATATTCTACATTGGAATGAAGTAAGACATTGTTTTAAAATATCATTTCAACTTTGTAGTCTTCAGAAAGAGATCGATGAGATAAATCATCAACTCGAACGAATGCACAAAACGCTGAAAGAACTTGAAAATCAACATCAGAAATTGTTAAGAACTCGAACCATGTTGGAGCACGATCTCGCGCTTAAAATAGATGCGATATATATCGACAGGGAAAAAGTTTGCGGTCTTAGACGCGCATATCCTGTTAATGCACTATTTAGATTTTAAAAGTACAGTTATTTTTTGTTAATATCATAGATTTTTTTGTAATATTATAAGTATATATTCGAATACTGCCATTTATATTTATGAGAATGTTTATGCAATGTTATTGCAATATATCTTTAGAGAAAATTAAACTGTATAGAAAAAAAATCTGTATAATTTTAGATTGCATATTTTATTACAATGTTAGATTTTAAAGATATCTTCTTTTAATGCTATATTATGGATACTGCCATTTACATACATATATAAATGTTTAATTATGCTATTGGAATACACTCCTAGAGAAATTTAGGCTATGTGATATTTCCATGTATTCAAAGCATTTGAAAAACATTAAATATTTATTTGTTTATACAATTATAATACAATTATAATAACTACTAAATATATTTACTTATTACTTTGTTGGGCTTTGACATAACTTGGCACAGGCAGTTGTAATCCTGGCCTGGCTTCAAAAAATGTATAAGAAAGGATTATGTCGTCAATAAATTCCATTTTTGGATCCTCCGTGAATTCTGGATCAATGTAAAAGAATACTGGCATATCAACCTTAAAATGCAAGAAATATTGATTTATAACATTATTGAATTTATTTATATAGATTTGTTTAAATATACAGTATATGAATAAATTATATGATGAAAATAAAAATTGATATCCAGAATAATATTGACTTTCATTGAATATATAAAAATTAAAGCGCCACATTATCCAGCATTGGTAGAACACTAATATAAACATACCTGTTCATGAGGATTAAGCATTTGTTCTTCAAAACAGAAACACTGTATTTTATTAAAGTATTGTCCTACTTCATAAGGTATAACATTATAAGTAGATATCCCTATGATTTGTTTGTCTGTTGGATTTGTAGCAGTATAAAATGCTAAAGCTGTTTCTCCAGGAACAACTGTAATCTCTATTTGCTGTGGTTTGAAATTCCACTGCATTGATGCTGCAGTATCAGCAGTAAATTTAATTTTAATCTTTCTATTTTTGATAGGTGACATTGTGTCAATTTTGCTAGTATCATGGCCAACTGTTACTGTTCCACCATAACTGTATGCCTGTACAATAAAAGGAAATGTATATAATAGCTTGTACTAATATATGATTATAACAGCTATTGTTTCTTTGAAGAAACAAGATGATAAGTTTGATACTGATATACCGTTGTCTTTACATAACTGCAATACCTGGCAGAACATTCTATACAAAGGTACTGCAGAATAACTCAATCCAACAACTAAAACTCCGAGTCCAGTCCAATAAAGAGCTGTGGAGCGCAATTTTTTTTCGAACGTGCTGTCAGAGTACTGTTTCATTAAATTTCGAGATACACTGGTGTATATTTGTCTGGTGCAAGTCCGTGTCAACCGTTGACAAAGATTAAAATACATTTCTCAGACTTTTTCTATAGAATTTTATTTTATATACAAGAAATCACTCTTTCTAACCATAAAATCGCCCGAATAAAAGTCTAAATCTCGCGTTATATGTAATTAAATTCTTCTTAAAAGCATGATGATATTAAACAGTATGTAAGCAAGTATAGTTTTCTCCAATAATACATGAATGTCAACTTAATATTATAGAGTTCTAACAAATTTACAGAGTAACATTGTAATATCAAGTGCCATGCAGGATTCCATGTTACTTGCGATACTATAGTTAATCGATATAAACCGGTATATGTCATAGACATAGGATCTGTTCTTTATAGCTGCACTACTGAACTAGTGCAATAAGTTAAAATGAGACAACTATATTTTTTCTCATTTGCTGCATTCAGCAGACTCAACAGTTGGACAACATTACTAGATTTTCCACTGAATCTCGCTTCTGATTGGTAAATACTTCTGGGTCTACGAAGAATCTAAACGAATGCTCCAATCACAGACAATAATCACTAAGCGCTCTCTGATCACTTTGTTCTACTGAACGCGGTCATTCTAAAGCCAGCGGCACGGTGCTTGTTTTTGTGCTGGATTGCTTGCTGGATGAAAATACTGCATTCTGATTGCTGCATTTCCATCCATCTTCGGAAATGCGCCAATCAGAACGCAGTATTTTCATCTAGTAAGCAATCCAGCATGAAAACAAGCACCGTGTGCCGCTGGCTTTACTTATTGCACTAGTTCAGTAGTGCTGCTATAAAGAACAGACCCATAGGAATATAAAGACAAAGCATAAAGTTGCGTGGGGATAACCATTGCGGGACGGTGCGACGAGGTAAACTGTACCTAAATCTAATTGGTGGTTGTGCCGTATGTAAGTATTTGATACATACATAGATGTGTATGAAGTTGTGTGTGAATGAAATTATGAAAAAAAAGACACATGCATAACCTCTGCAAAATACTGTCAATGTAAATAGTTCTTATCATTTTATTTTTTGCTATTTGTCAGTGACAGCCAAGTCGTTGCATCACACACTCTGAATATGCGCACTATTGTAGTTAATAGCCGCGTTCAGCAGACTCAACAGTTGGACAACATTACTAGATTTTCCACTGAATCTCGCTCCTGATTGGTAAATATTTCTGGGTCTATGAAGAATCTAAAAGAATGCTCCAATCACAGACAATAATCACTAAGCGCTCTCTGATCACTTTGTTCTACTGAACGCGGCCAATGGCTGCGTTCAGTAGAACAAAATGATCAGTGAGCGCTTAGGCCCAGTTCCACAAAATCAAGTTTAAACCGTGATTATCTGAACTGACGTTACATTTAACGGTATGGTTAAACTTATATCGCGTTCCACATCATGTTTTTAACTGTAGTTTACTAAAACCTATAGTCTGTATGAAGAAACTGTCAAAGACTTCTCTTTCTTTTCAAACGTATAGTATGACTGCGTTCCGTTTCACGCATTATACGCGCATTTCCTACAGTATATGTAACATGAACTATATATAAATGCGCGCATATGCGTGAAACGGAACGTGGCCTATGATTGGTTGTTGCTAATAGTGAAAAGAGAGAAAATTGAAATAAGTTGGATGCTATGACATCTAGTAGAGAACAATATATCTGTTTCGTATGAAGTAAACACTAACCAACATTAACATTTGCTGTATTTGTATATAAGTATTAATTTATTAAAAGGTGGAAGTCCAGTGTTAATAATAATCAATCAGTTTATATTATTGATTTGATTGTACTTATCATATAATAATTGACTTTTATATATAGTTTTATACTCTGTTTTAGAATATAATCTATCGAAGCAAAAAACCCAATATTTTAAATTAAATTTATATACTTACTCTTTTGTTTTATGAGAAATTTCATGCTCGATTTCTGCTAGAACTGCAATAACAGATTCTTTTGATAATCTAAATCGTGCATGAAAATCGACATTATCAAATTCTTCCAAATATGATGGTCGTCTAAAGCCAGCAGCACACGGTGCTTGTTTTCGTGCTGGATTACTTGCTGGATGAAAATACTGTATTCTGATTGGTACATTTCCGAAGATGGATGGAAATGCACCAATCAGAAAGCAGTATTTTCATCCAGCAAGCAATCTAGCACGAAAACAAGCACCGTGTGCCGCTGGCTTTATTTTTATATTTCTTGTCCGTCGATAAATTAGGTCCTTAAAATCTTCATCTTTAGATGAGGATAATATGTATTCTAAAGCCATATCTCTTTGGTATTCAAACATTCAAAATATTTGTCAACTAAACTCCAAAACCGGGATAGTCATAAATTTTTTTCTCAAATTGATGGTACTGCAGTGTTAAACTTCGTTTAAATTCATTAAACACCCAAAGTTTAGGGTTTAACTTTAACTGTGAGAAATCAACGTTAACCATGGTTTAAAGCAGTTGTAGAACGCAATTTTTCGTCTAAACTAAGGTTAACGAGTTAAATTTCGTTTACAGTAAGTTGTGGAACCGGGCCTTAGTGATTATTGTCTGTGATTGGAGCATTTTTTTAGATTCTTCATAGACCCAGAAGTATTTACCAATCAGGAGCGAGAATCACTAAGCGCTCACTGATCACTTTGTTCTACTGAACGCAATCCAATGAAACTTAGGCACAATCGCCCCCCGTATTTCAACACAACTCCCCTCGCCGATCTTACGGACTTATGCTCTGTCCCTATATTCCTATATCTATGATATATGCAGAGAGAAACCTGAGAGCGGCCAACACATTTTCTGCGACACCGACTTTCCGCACTGGGAAAGGACGCCATCTGCATCCATTTTGATTATAAATATCTCGCGAGTCGACGAAATATTTGAACTTTTAAAAAAGACATCAAAGAACATCACGTTGATGTTGTCATGGGTGAAATCTCACCCTGATATATATTTTTTTATTTTCGAAATAAAAAAAGCCAAACGAATGCAATTAAATGTTATTTATCATCATTGAATACTTCATCCAGTTTCAATGAATATTCTTCATAAGATTTAATATACATTTCATCTCACTTCAAAACGCACACTCTCTCTTTCTCTGGTAATTGAGCAAATTTTTCTTGCAATTTCTCAAATATAAAATTACAGAATCCCGGTCTTATGTCGTACTCTTCTAACTATCTTTGTATTGTTCGTTGTCCGAGAAGATTGCAACCTGTTTTCTTTAAACGATAGAATGCAGAGGCAGAATAATAATAAAGTTACCTTGATAACTTTTTTTCTTCGTCAGTATACTTTGCATTTGACATATGTAGCTGCAAATTTATCATGGCTTTTGCCACAGGGTGTAAGTCTTGTTCATTTATTAATTTTTAAAAAATTTTTATCTTTTCTTTATGACTTTTCGGCTTCCTAACTTTTGTACATCTTATACGTAGCCGACATTTTAAACATCTTATAATATTTTGCAACCGAGCATTTTCATATTTTAAATTGTTTATTTTAATATTTAACTTACGTGCTGTCGCTTCTGTTGCTTTTTGGTTCTGTTGCTCTCCTGTTGTTTCTGTTATTATTTCTCCTCTTGTTTCTGGGATTTCATCAACAGGCAGAAAAGAATTGGGAATTCCTTAATTCCTGGGCGGCTCAATGTCCATCCATTCCGCAGCATCTTCCTCGTCCGTTGGAATGTCAAAATATAAGTTTGACGGCCCGTATGTTCGAAGTGGATATCGTTGTATTGATTGCTCATCTATATTGATATTCATTTCCGAAATGTGACTTGTAAGAACAGTTGGTATGATGTTCTCTCTGATTTCTACTTCTTCAGAGAGTTTTTCCACTACTTTATGTCTTCTTTTTTTCACTTGTTCTACATTTTCATTAACATGTTCGCTTTCAAAATGGATTGGAACAGCATTCAATTTTAAACGTTTCTTCGTGCTTGTCACAAATGATGCATTATTAAAATGGTCTTCGCATAATCCCGCGCATCTAAGGGAGTGAGAAGACCATTTTTCTAACTTAGTATTTCCTGCAACAGAAATGAAATGAAAAACATTTGTGTGTGTGTATCTCTGTGCATAATTTTCATTTATTTATTTAATATAATTTTTCAATATAAAATCATCTTTAGTTTATTTTAAGATGTTTCGTTCACATTGACTGTGTTCAGCAGAAAAACTTACTATACGTTATTTGAATGAAAAACGTAAAATTTGTGAATTTCATTGATATACATCCATATAGAACAAATATCCAATATGCATGTCATGGATATTCTCTAGATATCGCGATATCTATAGGATATCCATTGGATGTATTTTGGATATTTGTTCAGTATGGGCAGACTCCGGTAACTCATGAAGCAGCCGCAGTATACAAATAGAATGGGTGAAAATAATAAAAAGAGTTATACCATTTTGTAATTTTCTTAACAATTACTCTGTAATTAATTAAAATGTATAAGCGAATAAGCGCACGGGAAGAGATACAACGAGCTCTGTGTCTAAAAAACATTTACTTCTTAGCAACAATAAGTAATAACTCATTTCGAGGTACGCGGCCGTGTGTTATATATTACTCATTACCAGTGATAGCAGATTTCAACTAGCGGCTCCGCGGTTCACTAGTGGAAGGGGAAACGCATACAAATAAAAAAAATATAAATATAAATAAAAATAAATATAAAATATAAATATAAATTTTTCCGGGAAATATTTCTCTTCAATTCTCCAGTAATGCAGGGATATCCAATTGTCAGTCAGGAGTTTATAGATTGCAGTAGATTTTTCTAACAATGATAATAATACTGAAAAGTACAAAATATACGTTAGATAATCTGCTATCACTGTTCGTTACTTCGCCCAGCTATCACTCCAATGACACGCAAAGCAGAATTCACGACGAAATCTTGTGAATGCGAAATAATATTTTCGAATACATTTTATGCTACACAGTTAAAAACGTTTCGTACTTTTGTTAAAATTTTTCGTGTGTAGAAAGTTTTGCGTTAAATTTTTTATATAGTCGTGTGTTAATTTAACATATCGTTGTTGTGTTACTTAGACTTTATTGTGTTAAATTAAGATTAACTATTTTCAAGTATTAAAATAACATTTCCAAGTGTTAAAGTAACACAATTTATATGTAAATGCATGAATTCTTGCTATGACATATTTTATATGTTACAGTCAACAGCTAAAACGTGTTATTTTCCTCATTATA